ACTGACCGGGGTTCGATTCCCCGGATGCGCATATTCAGCAGTATTTTACTATTTTGAAGATAAACGCTTAATTTTCTTTTACAAAGCCGCCAATTATGATCTCCTTGATAATCATTGTTCCCCCTTATGATCCTAAAAAGAATATAGTGTGTTGGAGGTCCATGTATAGCTAATTAATAATAATCATTTTGCACCCAAGACTGGCTATGTATCGTATAGAGTGGGTTGCTACCTCTTGGCCCAATCTATTGGCCTACTCGCCCGATTCAAGGTGAGCCTCGGTCAACATCACATCAAGAGAATAGGACGACCCAATTATTCGCTTTTACTTGCGCTAAAGAAAATAATCAACGAACCAGTCAAACCAGATCTTCAAATGAAAATTTTAGTTTGGAAAACAAATGACAAAATGTCGTCAAAATCTTAGGTAAAGTGAATGCATGTCGCGCGCGCATATGAAACCCGAGTTTCCAACTCCCTCAGATAAGTCCAGAATTGCTGTCGGCAGAGCTGCGCTCGCACGACGAGGAAAAGCACGCCTGCACGCGCGGTTCGGGCAGATAACGCCCGTTTCTCCGCTCGAGCTATAGTTAACGCTCGACCATTCTATTTTTTATTTTTTCAATCCAAAAAACTTTATTTTTTATTTAATGTATATCCAAGATAGTTCAACATGTAATATAAAGTATTTCTACAATTAATGATACTTATAACTTTATTACATTAATTACGTAAAAAAGCTTAATTTATCACATTAAATATTATTTATATCTATTGACATGATTGTTTTAATTAACAAATCATATAATCATGCTCGCTATAAACTTATAGCATACTTGATTCATTGAAAAAAATATAATAAAAATAGAATTGTCATTCCAAAAGAATAGAATAGAAAAATAATAATAATTATTTAAATTGGTTCATAAAAATGAAATAAGATAGAAATTGCTATTATTACTTGTTTTATTATTTGGTTGACAATAATAATTATAAGAATAGTTAAAGAATAATGGGTAAATGATAAAAATACTTTTTATTAAAATTTAAAAATAATTAATTAAAAAACAAAAATATTATGATGAGAAAAAATACTCTTTATTAAAATTAAAGAATTTATTTTGTTAAAAGATTAAAATATTCTAAGTAATAAAATCAAAATAACTTTTACTATAATTAAATAATATTTTCACTAAAATACAAAATATTTTTATTATAATTTAATAATATTTTTATTAGAAGATAATTAAACCTTTTATTATAATTAAATAATATGTAATATTAAAAGACAAAATATATTCTTCATTAAATTTAAATAATACTAAATTATATTCTATATTACATTTATTATATTCAAACAATAATATTAATTAATATTCTTTATAATATTTTATTATAGCTAAATAATATTAATATATTAAATAATATTCAAATATTTTCATTTCCTTTTTTTTAAATGAAGTAAAAAATTGTGTCTTCTGTGCTTTAGAGAGAGAAAAAAATAGATTTAGTCTTTTTTTATAAAGTAATTTTTTAAATTGTAAAAATATATATTTATCTAATCAAATTTTTTTCTTATTCTTAACAATTTGGAATAGCTATTACCAATAGGAGTCTTGATAATAGCTTGATAATAGCTATTCAAGTTTCTCTCAGAATGGTTATTTTGAAGAATAGCCATTTCATTGAACCAAATGCAACTTTATCTAAAGAACGATAACAGAGTAAGAATGGTTATTCTATTCTCCCCAACTAAGCACATCCTTAAAGTTTCAATACCTTCTAATTTGTTTGACCTTGCTCAAATGGCTATTGATTGTTGAGAGCTCACTTGTACTCTTGTGACGAGAAAAGCCATTATTAGTTCAAATATCGTACTGTTTTGCTTTTTCATTGTAATTTTACTAACATAATAATAAGGGTAAATACCCTTATTTTATAAGATTTGATGAAAATTACATGAAGATCTATTTGTTTTTAAAATGAACATAATGTCTTAAAAAAAATTTTCGTTGGACATACAGGTCTAGTAGTAAGTTAATTGTAAACATTTTCGTTAACTTGTTGACATGACAAGGGTAAAAAGATAATTTTACCTTTGATTATTTTTCAAAAGATACTATTATATAATTTTATTATTTTTTATTTTTTCTATTAATTAAAAAAAACCCTCCTAAGAAGGAAGCACCGATCGGTGCTCCTTTCTTTTTCAAAAATTTTTAAAAAATACTTATAATTTTTTAAATTAATAAAAAAAAGACATTTTAATCTTTTCCTAATCTCTATTATCAGTGTTTGCATTTTTTGGACGAAGTGTCTATTTCAAAAACTAATGAATCCGCTTAAAATTTTTTTAAAAAAATTATTTAAGAAAGTTTAAATTATTTTTTATTTTTTATTTTTAGTATACTTTTCTTTTTAGTCAAATAAACACTTATAATTAATTGTTGATTAATTGTTATTAATTAAAAAATTATTTATCAATTTTATATTACGCGATATTGATATGTAAGGTGAAAAATATTATATAATCATATTATCATATTATATCATTATCCATTCAGTGTCATATAATATAGAATTATAAATGATACTTTATCTGTCAAAAGAATTTATTTGACTCAAAATAAAAGTATAAAAATTTATTTAATTTAAAATAAATATTTTTTAAAAAAAATTAATAATTTACAAGTTTTAAATGTTATATTTAAAAAATATAACATGCCAATTAAAGGTGAACAAAATTCGGTTAAAATTGAGTTAACTGAATTAACCGATAAATTTAATTAATTTGGATAAATCGGTTAAAAATTTGTTTTAGTCGGTTTTGTTGGTTTGATTTGATTAAAAAATTTTAAGATCAGTTAACTGAATTAACTGACTTTGAGTATTAAGAGGGTTTTTATTACATGTATGCACTCACACTGATTTTCTATATATATATGTATATGAATGAATGAAGGGTTTAGATTTAATCATCAAGAGGGATTTTCTTACATGTATTAACTTACACATTTTTTCTATACTTATATATGAATAAATGACGTAGATTTAATCATCAAAAAATAAAATAATAAAATACATTCTATTTAGAGATTAATATTATTGAATATTTATATAAATATAACCATACCAAAATAATGTAAAATTAATGCAAATTATATTGAAAACTATACGCCAAGCTTATGTTATTAATATAACTTATTATATTAACTTATTTTTATATACATTATTAATATATTATGCTACATATAGTATATTTATTAATATACAATATATAGTCTATACTTGTTATCGATTTTACACACGTAAATATACGTATCGAATAAATAATATAGATAGTAAGTCCAGATTATTGTGCGCACCAGGATTTATTTCTAAAGTTTTGCTAGGTACTAAAATTGTATAATAAATTAATTAAAGACAAAAATTAAAAACAAATTAATTAATATATTTAAGCTAATCGAAAATTGAAAAAAAAACTAATTAAAGACAAAATTTAACAAAAACACTAAATTAACCAACAAAAATTAAATATATTGAGAAAAACAATAGATTAAAGACCTAAGATCATGGGCTCATTCAATATTTTATTTGATACCAGCTTCTCTTATTATTTATATTCATAAGTGGTTTTACTAATCTAAAATCAAAAGCTATGTACAAGTCTCTGTTGATATGTTTGCATACATACCTAACTTAATTGGGTCAATATATACTTATAGGAATCAATTAAATAAGGTTTATTAACCATTGTTTTAATTTGACTATATATAGCAATTGACACATGTCTACCCAAATCATGAATCAGATTACCTAAGTGACATAAACATACACTATTCAAATATTAACTCAATCTAAAATCTCTTTATTGAATCTCAATTAAATTTACAAATTAGTTAGCTATTGACTAGATAATAAAAAAACATTAAGAACAAATTTCAATAAATAAAACTATACCCATCCATAATAAATAAAAGAGAAATTAATATTTAGAATATATAGTAAAATCCACCACAATCTTAAAAAAATAGTTTAGCTCATAATATCTAATAAAAATAATATTCAAAAAAATTTAACCATAAATCAAAGTCAAAGAAAATAAGTAAAACACAAAAGTAGAGAAAAAATTAATTATTGAAGCTTTGCAATCTCAATTTTCTTTCTAATTCTCTTATTTTCCTACTTTATTCTTGGCTCATTTTTTTTGAAGTAATTACTTGCTGCCTCTCTTTTAAAACCTCTTAAAAAAGTCTCTTAAATACAAAGGCAGAGCCTCCTTAAGTAATAGGGGACCAAAATTTTTAAAATTTTTAAAATAACATATGAAATTTTTAAAATTTTTTATATATTTTCTAAATAATCCCCTCAAAATAATTTTTTAATTAATAATTAATATAAATAAAGAATAATAAAATGATTTCACATATCTCTCTTAACTTTAAAATTTTTCTTTCAATTTATATTATTAATTTTATTTATATTTATTTATTTATTATTTCTATTTTATTCATTCATATATTCGAAGTTTCTATAAATTTTTTTTCTCAAATTTTTTTAAATTTTCTTTCTCAAATTTCTACAAGCCATTAAGTATATTTTTTCTCTTTCTTTCTTGTTATGTCATAATTTTTTTCTATGATTTTAATTTTTAAAAATTAAAAAATTATTATATAGCTTTCAAATATAAGTTGTATTGTTATATTGTTACTTAAAATTTCATTAATATATTATTTTTTTATTAATCCTAATTATGTAAGAGAAAATTAATTTGAATATTTTTTTATCTTCTTTACATGTTATATTTAGTTGAAATTAAATTATCTAAAATAGATAATCTTTAAATAATTCTGATTATATAAGAAAAAATTATTAATTTTATATATCATTTTTAACTATTTATGTTTTACACATTATAGTTTTATATTTAGTTTCATATTTCTATTATCAATTTTTCGATTGTTAATTGAATTTAACATATTAATTTTTTTAAATTTTTTATCCTTATTCTTTTGTGTTTAGCCCTTGCTTAATAGGCTTTAAGTAACTTAATTTTCAAATCCCATTAAATTTTTATTTTTAGAAAATGGGGTGATGTCAAAGTCATTATTTCTTGACGCCACAGTTCAATGACAAGCTTTAATAATGTCGCGACACTTCTTTTCTGGCTCCATAACGCCATGCTCTCGGCCATTAGTATGATACACCTATCTAGCCTAGCGTCGCAGCCACAAATTTCCAATGTTGCGATAGTGATTCTTTCAGCGCCGCGGCCATGGGCTACTCATGGATGTTACCTTCCTCCACATGCTGCCTTGTGCAGAACTGTAACAATTAAAGTGTTTTTCAACGAGATTTTTCGCTAGATATGATTTGAATTAGATAAAATGGTAAACATGAAAGTTTTAGCTCTATCTCTTCACTTTCCAATGAATTATGACTCGTGTCAATTGGACTTTTAGAGTGAAAGATATACTCCAAATACTGTATCATATTCAATATATGCATGCTACTATATTACTCCGAATTTGACAAATATTTTGATCATGTTCTAATCAAAACTCGGTAAAGTGGTAAATATAAAAGTTGTAGCCTTTTCCTCTTAGCGTTTTAGTAGTTCAAGAATCACCTCATTTACAGTTTTTTATAAAGAGATAAGGTTAAAATACTAAAATATATACAAATAAACCCATTACTATACTTGCACTAATTTTCATCAAATTAGCTTTTCTTATCAAATTTTCAACAAAAGCAACAAAAGAAATTAACAATAACTACTCTTAAAGTAATTTAAAATAAAATAATATAAAATTAAACTAAAATAATTTAAATTAATTACTCAATATGTAATCAAATTTACACTAAAAAAACACTTAAAATATAAAAATTTGAACCTAAAATCTTAAAGATTTAATTACTTAAGCTTTCAAAATGTGTCAAAATAACTTTATATAATAAAGTTATCAATACTATATAGTCTATAGACAATGGCAACTTATTTTTTTTATAAATTATTAATAAACTGTAGTAATATAGTCTAACTTATATTAATATAATAAGTTATATTAACTTATTAATATTAGTGTACTATAGTAATATAACTGATATTAATAATTTAACATATAACTTATTAATATACTATATATATTAACATATTAATGTTACTATGTTATAACTCATATTACTAAAGTAACTTATATTAATATTAGTATCCTATAGTAATATAACTTATATTAATAATTAACTATATTATAATATATAACAATATATTATATATATTATATAGTATACTTATTAATATACTAATTAGTCAATAACAATTTATCATTATGTACAATAATATACTATTAATGTAAACTTTTTTTATTTCATAATTTTACCTACAAATATTGGGATGAGACTAATATTATTGTGATTGGCAATTGTGATTAATTTAATATCAATAAATTGTTAAAAAATAAAAAATAAAAAAATTTGAAAAAAAATTGATTAAATTAGTTAAAATCGATTTAACAGATTAAAATCGGTTAATTTTAAATTGATTAAAATACTAAAATCGATTCGATTCAATTAATTTTTTAAAGAAAGTCGATTAAATTGTTTAATAATATTTTTTAACCAAATTAACCGGATGCTCCGCTTGTCGCCAACGACAATTTTCGACGGCCAATCTATCACATCAGTGTTCGCGCGAGAAGGTCTATCGTAACCTACAAGCCAGTACTACTGTAGCAAGGTCAATGAATCGCGCGCCCTGTTCAACCCCTGGTATAAATAACCCCACCTCCTTCTCATTTTGGCTTCATACCATCATCGGTTCAATTGAGGAAATATTCAATTTGTTTCTGGGTTAGTACGGTTCCTTATATGGTTCGATTCAATTGATCTCTTGGCTTTTCGTTTTTTGAAGTATATTCGGTAAGCTTTTTCGGAGATACTGTCGGAGATTCTCCATTAACTTCTCATCCAAAGAAACCAGAAGCTAAGTTGCATCACAGAACAGAGCAGGTCCAACCAGGAACAGAAAGAACAAAACACATAGCCACAACACCCAAGAAAGAAGAGTGATCCAGTTTTACCGACAAGCCATTACAAGATTCAAGCTTTTTCTGTTTTCGTCCCTCCACCGTTTCCGAAGGTTCATCGTGTATTCAGATCTCCCCTTTCTTCATTATTTATTGTTTTGTTCTTAAATTTATAGGCGTTGACTCGATACCCAGTTACTGGATTCCCGATTTTGCTTTTGGTCCATTCGAGCCGTTAACAAATCGTTATCGTTTTGGAGGGTTAATACCCAACAAGACAAAGATTGGGCCAAGCAGAGATGCCGCTAAAGTTTCAGAAGCAAGACGACGACTTCGTAAACCTGAAGAACAAAGACAAGGTGAGAAGGAGATAGTGATTGCTGAAGGTCGGTGTCCACGAAAATATGGTGGATTCTTCTACTGCTGCAGAGGCAACAGAGACCAAGGCTACCAAGGAACGCAAACGGAAGAGTCAGAAACCTGAAAAAACTAGAGCTCAAAAGGATAAACATAATGCTAGTTGCCAAAAGTCTCGACGGGAAGCTAAGGTAGAGCAATTAATCTCTATCCGTCAAATTTCCTTTTTCCCTGACTTATAGGATTTAATTAATCTTTGCTTGCCATGCTTGCTGTTTTTTAAATACAGAGGAAGCGTGAGGAACTTGAAGCGATGGTAGCGGTGGTGCCAGAGTTGCAAGCTGAAAATCAGAGGATGAAAGCTGAAATCGAGAGGATGAAAGCTGAAATGGAGAGGATGAAAGCGGGGCAAGGTATTAAAATTGAACGCCAGGGACTAAGGGAAGCTCTTGAGATAGGGGTACCACTCTGCCATTTCTCTCACCCTTTTCTATCATTCTTTCTTTCCTTTACTTTTTTTTTGAAAGTTATTATCTTTTTATTGCGTATAAAATCAACATTTTATTATTTTGTTTTAAATTAAATAAATTTTTATAATAAATAATTGACTAATTATTATGAGTTAAAATCTCACATATTATACGGCAATACCCATTTTTAATTTATTTGTGTTTTCCAGGAGGCCAAGGAGGAACTGATGAAGCAAATTCCCTGTGCATGGAAAGTCGACGTACGGAAATCTATAATTGTTAAACTAATAATGTTTAATTGAAGGATAAGTGCATATATGAGTTTAAACTAAAAAATCTTGACCTTCTTCCAGTTTTACTGCTCATTAATTCATTTCTCTTGAATTGCAGGGGACAAACTTTGGTTCTTTTGACCAGGTATGCGGAATTTCATTGATGAAATAAAGTCCCATGCTTACCTATGAACATGTTGTGTGATCTTCCGTGGGGTATTGAACTCTTATTTCTCTTTATTGCAGGCGGAAACTTGGTTTCTGTCGCAGACCTATGATCAAGGTTCAGGAACTTAATTCTGAAACTCTTTTAGAGGATGATAATGAATTAATTTTACTACCTTCTGTGACTGATTTTATCAGCAAATGGACTTTAATTAGTAACGATCTCCATCCCTTGATCAAATTGCTTGGTGTTCTATTAAATGCACTTAACTGTTTGCAGGCCCGAACGACACTGAGAACAAAACAACTGCTTCTGCTGCTGCTGGCCCTTCGTGTGTTGCAAATCATGGCTTGCCAAACAAGCCAGATAATAGTCCTTTCAGTCATGACCCTGCTGCCGGTCATAAAACAGGTTTTTTACATACATAGTAATTGGTTTATCTTGTTTACTTCTTATTCTAATTCCCTCAAATTGGAAAAGGAATTTACATGTTCCTTGCGGTACTAAAAATTTGCATTTATGATAGTTAAGATAGCTTCCTAAATTTAGTCATCCTGATTACTCTCCTGTTAATTTAGGATTTCCATCTGCTTCTGCTGCTGATTCCTTCCTTGCTGCATATCCCGAGTTGGCCGCTGCATTTGATGGGCTATATAATCCTTCTACCAGTGATTTTTTCACTAATCATGACCTTGCTGCGGGTAATCAATCAAGTCTTTAGGTTCCATCACATTGTTTCATCTTGTTTACATCTTATTCTTCCCTCCAATTTGCCTTTTGTATTACGTAATTTTAACTCTTAACTACAATGTCTTCTTATGTATAGCTTCCTAAATTTACTCATCCTGATTATATTCTTGTAACAATATAGAATTTCCAACTTCATCGGCAGCAAGCTCCTCCCTTATTGTAGGTCATGAGTCTTCTGTCATGTTTGATGCCCCAAATAATCATGACACCGTCAACAATCTTTCCAATCATGACCCTGCTGCCGGTAATGGATTAGGTTTTCTTACATTCATCATATTGGATCATGTATCTCTTGAATATCTTCTTATATGTAGCTTCATAAATTTGGCCATCTTGATTGTTTTCTTGTTAATGTAGGATTTCCAAGTGCTTCTGCTGCTGGCTCCTTCTCTTATGATATCGGTGGTCTTTTCACTCATGACTCTGCTGCCGATGACAAAGCAGGTTTGTACGTTAATCATATTGGTTAATCTTGTGTATTTCTTGATCTTCTCTTGAATTCATGAGGTTTCTCATGATACTAGAAATTTGCTTTTAACTACACTTTCTTCTTTTAAATATAGTTTTCTAAATCTACTCATCCTGATTATTTTCTTATGAATTTAGGATTTCCGTTCTGAGAAAATCCCATCTTTAAAGGCAGTTTAGAGATGGTGTCTATAAGCTCCTCACCTCCTCAAGCAGATATGCGCAACTTCTCTATGTGAAAAGTCATATGTTATCGATCAATGGTTACTTGATTGTGCGTGCCAACGAGTTAAACAGTCATGTATGTAGTCTCAGAGTTCTTTTGATCATGTGTGTTTCTTAATGTCCTGGACCTTTCCTATTGGTCCTCTTTCCGGTTGTTGCTGCTTTGTGTGTTGAACATGTGTTTCGCTAAAGTTTATGTTTGTAAGAATGTGTACGGTGTTTGCTAAATAAATGGGAGGTGGATTTAAATTAGTCATTAGCACTTGTAGCGTTGGTACAATCAAGGCATCTCTGTCCAAATGACTGACAGACTCACCATTAAAGCATAAAGGGCGGACACACTGTAGCGACTGTTCTGTGGTCTCTATGGTGGCCCACACCTGTCTTCCTCTAGAGTATAGGGTAAAAACGTTTTCAAAATTCAGGCACCCCAACACAGTGTTATCTAATTCATAAATCATCGATCTTCACCTCAACTTTTTAAGTAGGAGGGACACACGTGCTTTCCTGCTCCTGGTGCATGGGTAGTATAAATGTTTGGACACAAGTTATCAGTTGCCATTAGAGACCATTACACTCTAATCCCGTCTTCTTTTCTTAATTTAAATTATTTAGGCTTTTAAAAATAATTAATACATACATAATCCTCTTAACTTTCTCTTTATTTTCACAAAAGACATCAAATTTCTTGGTAACAAGTTAGAGCCTACTAGTTCTTTTTTCTTAGCTTTTTACAACTAAAATTTTGTCTTGTTGGAAAATCACGTACAAATATCTTCAAATGGTCAAGAAAAATTAGAATTTAGAAAGCATAAAATATGCATTTATTAATTGAATTACCAGGGACATTTAGTGTAGCATAAATAAAAATTTTACTGACATTAGACTTAATTTATGAATGTGATATGAATGATTATGATACATCATTCCACATCAAATGTGAATATAACTATTGATTTAAACTCTTATATATAAGTCTTAATAATTGATTTATCCATATTATTTCAAACATTCAATTTAATAATATATAGGACTCCTAGATTTTTGTAATTAATAAAAGAATGTTAAAATGTTCGATAATTCTACTATCATTAAGCATAGGTTGAAATACGAATTTTTCATCCCTTTACTATTTCAATTGAATGGTTCTAATGCTTCCATATCACATATATTTCATTAAAAGTTGATTTAAGAATAATTAAAAATTTTGCCATGAACTTGGATGATATAGTATTTTGATGATGATGTGAAATATTATTTTGGAATTTTCTTTCTCAAGGGACATACATAAAAAAAACTTGATTTTAATTAACAAATAAAAATTGTTAATTAAAATTAATTATTATTTATCAAAAAAAAAAGAAATGAAAGGGAGAGAGAAAAATTAGAAATGAAGGAAAAGAGTATCTGAATATTGAGATAAAGAGATTAAAATCATATTATCATGAGAAAATAAATAGATCAAATTTAAAATTTCCAAAAATTTATTATTGAGTAATAAGTTGTCTATATACTGTGATAACCACAAGGCCGCCACCACGTGGCTACTGAGAATAAAAGTCAACAAAATCTAAATAAAATAATTTGGATAAAATAAAAGAAATGAAAGAAAAGTCCATGCTGTATGGTTCCTCGGAATCTAAATAAAAGAGAAGCGAACAAGGCTCGCGTCTCCCAAATCTGATCTGATTATTTTAACGTCGGTGGTTGAACTGTCCCATATGTTTTTGCTATATAGAAGTCGACAGCCGATATATCTGTTGCTGATCATTAGAGTTTTGAGGGCAGCGCTTGCGGGAGAACATATAATTTGTAAGTGTCAGTTATGGTTAACTCTCTGTTGCTTTAAAGTGAAATAGATGAGTTTGGTACATAGAATCAACAAGTCGACATATATTCAATCAAGAAAAGACGGTGAGAAAACATAGAGGATTGTTTTGGACCAACCCAAAACCATGGAGGATTCTAGTGCTTTTGCTGCTTTCCAGGCAGACGATTCAGAGCGAACACCAGATCACAGGGGCTGTAAACGTACACTAACTGAAGCTAGAGAAAAGCAAAAAACGAGCACGATAGAAAACGCCTGCAAGAACATAGGGTACAGAAAATACATCTTCCAGGATTTATACTTTATATGTTGAATTAGAGACTAATGCTTTACAATTAATTTGTAAATGGAGGTGGAGTTCGTGAGACTTCAGAATGTGGAGTCCCAGTGTGACGATTTGAAGACCCAACTCGGGATACGGACAAACACTATTAGCGAATTAGAGGAGGAGAACCAAAGGCTGAAGAATAGGGAGTCACATCTTAATAAAAGAACATAGGAATTCGATTATGCTCTTCTTGAAAGGGCAGCACCTCTAAGACGACATAACCAAGAACGATTTTTTGCTTAATTTTACCAGTATAATATAACCTTTGATTAAACTTTGCTTTGTTTTAATTTGTCAATGAAGAATCCACTCCTCCAAGGGAATCAATTACAACCAATGGTTCTAATAGGTGGAGAGATTAACCAAATGGTATGGACGGGGGCACATCTTCCGCTGATGCCAGATTTATGTATCAGCTAAGAGGTCCAAACCCAAGTAATTGCGGCAACACCAGCGGAGGGTGTCATTGACGAGGAAACAATAACCAATCAGTTCACAACGAATGTCCCGTTCCTGTTTGTGGCATCCAAAACGGAGGAAGTGACTTGCATCCGGCTGAGGGGCAATTGCTCAGCGAGTCCCGAGGGGGGTTTGGTCCAGTACTTGTTCGAGTGGATCCCTCACCACACCAACCAGAAATCTTCGGAGAATTTGGGATGGCCTCCGGTAAATGTTAGCTGGATTCAGAATTTGGCTCCATCCGGCCCACGGGTTCATCATGTGGTGCTCAAAGCCAAGTTTCCAATAAAATTTCTGATCTGGAATTCATTTGGATACCTTTAGTTAGAGTGTTGTGATGGATCTTATCAACCGTTTCCGACTGGCCATTTTGTTCATTGCTGAGACCCCAGAGTGGAAGAAATCAAGGACACGTTTCATTTTGATGCTCATCGTGTTCTGCCTAATTTTGAATTTGTGGGAGGGATGTGGCTGTTGTGGCGCTCTGATGTGGTGGAGGTTGAAGTTCTTTCCTTCACAGAGCAAGAAATCCACGCTATGTAAGTTAATATATATTTAAAGGATTATTGTTTTAAGAATGGGTTCTATATTTAAAGGATTATTGTTTTAAGAATGGGTTCTATATATTTTCCTACTGTTTATGTGCTTCAGGAACCACAAACAAATCAAATCTTTTCCTACCAGAAATTTTTAGGGTATGCAAAAATTAATGTCATTGTAAACCTTGTTATTTTTTTGTCAAAAAATGTTAAATTTAATATCAAACTATAAGTTATAACATATTGTCACGAATCTCTTATTAATAAAAGATGAAATGTGTCTTGGATTGAAAATGTGGACTCGTGACTAGGAATCCATCTTTCTAGATTTTGGTTTGCATTTTTCTTACCTATCCTTTTTCGGCTGTAATGTCTTGTCTTAATCTTGTTCTGCCTGCATTCACCTTGCTGATTTATTCGTTTTCTCTTGAATTTGCAGGGGAGTCACTTTAAGAGTATCGAAGATGTATAATCATTGTATTTGCACTAAGTGTTGATCTTCTTTATTCCAGAATCATGAAATCCTTAATTCTTTTTTCCTATATATTTTTTCAGGTTCAGTCATGGCTTCTAGCATCACCAACTCATAGTGAAGATGCAGCAAATAATGTGCATATTACTCACGGTCCAAGGAGTTCTCAAGGTGGTAGAATGTACACGGATGAGCTTGTGCACGATTTTGCAAAGAAACTTGATGCCAAATACAAGAGCCAAGTGGATTTTTCAGACTTCAGTGCCTTGATGGAGGGAGTGGTAAAAAGTGGGACGGTCACTTTACCCCCTTCTCTGGCTCTTATTGATAAGAAGATCGAGAAGAAGTATGGTGAGATTGCCGCAAAGAACAAACAAAGCAGCTGCACAGCTATGCCTGGCCGTATTCTGCTGTGTGCGGCAATCAAAGAGATGGATGAGCTGCAACTTGAGAGCATCGACCAGAACAAGATGTTGTTATGGGGGGATGCAATCAATAGTGCTCTCAATATCAATTTCAAAGTGGACTTTGCCATAGAGCACTTGAAGAAAATTGGCCATGCATATTTTGGTTTTAAAGCAAGGAATGATCAAGAGCTCAGGAGCCTCGAGGAGAAGATACCAACATTACAGACTGAACTATCTGACTTGGAGGAAAAGCTGGCTAAGAAAGCAGAAGAGCAGAATTCTGAGGTGAGGAAGGAGTGTCTGCGTGATGCCGAGTATTTTCAGGGCAAATCTCTTAGTGCTGGCCTATTGCATTAGTATCGTTTCAACCAGGTTTGGATTCTCTCCATCAATGCGCTGGAAGATATATTCTGCTACCTTGTTGGTTTTCTTTAACCACGTTGTATCATATACTAAGGCAGAAAGTTTCTGAAAAGGAAAGCATACTTCCATTCTGTATTAAACTTTTATTTGTGTGTGCTGCAAGACTATACAAATTGATAAGTGTTACAGATTCAAATACCAATAGAAATACATACGGATTTCATCTAATTACAAACTGTAGCTTTGTCAAGACATATTCAACCTTCTGAAATCTTGGATGCTTGAATATTATCTGCTTTTTGACTTGAGAGTGACAGAATGAACATAGTTAAACCTTCTCTAGGCATGTCATGCTTCTGAACTTGTAATTTTGTGATCATTTTGTCATCCATGGAATTCTTTCCTCCTCTAAATTTACCCTTCATCATGCTACCAACTGTAGGATATAACTTATTAAATGATGATCTTCTGATAATCATTTTTCCCCCTCATAATCCTAAAAAGGGTATAGTGTGTTGTCTGTAAATGTATAGCTCTAATGAACACTAATCATTTTGCACCCGACTGGCTATATATTGCAGTGTGTTGGTTCCCATCTCTTGAGCCCGCCAGGTGCACATAGTTTGTAAGTTTCTTGTTCGAATCGGCCCAATCCATTGGAGTCCTGAACTGATTTAAGGTGAGTCCAGATTTCTGCATCACAGTGAGGGGAGTACGACGACCCAATTACTCGCTTTTACTTTCTTTGGCTAAAGAAACATGAAAATATTGACAAAAGTCGAAACAGATTACTGTACGCAGTCGCCCAATAAGGAAAGGCATGCAGTTCCCAGACGTTACCTCCGCTGAGAATGGTAAATATAACGCTCTCAAATTGCTGTCGAACGAGAGGCCCTCGCGCGACGCAGAAACCACACCCATACGCGCGCTCTCCGCAGATGACGCCAGTTTTCGGGATCGAGCGTATTTATCCTAAACAATTAGAAAAACTCGAGTGTATGGGCTCGAGCGACAAGGAAAGCAGAGGCCGGCAATTATATAATTATGCGGGCGGTGAACGAAAGTTTCAAACGCCTCCTAATCGGTTTGACCTTCTTGCTCAACTTAATGTTCTCGAATGGCCGAAAACTGTGTGAGGGACCACTTGTACTCTCGCGACGAGCAAATCGATTCGTTCGAATATCGCCCGTTTGGCTTTTCCGGCGAGGATTTGACTGCAATAAAAATAAATATTTATATGCCAATTGAAATTTTAAATGACCAAACCATTGGTAATTTGGTTGAGCGATTTTATTGAAATCTTTTGTGAAATCATTTTTAATGTGATAAGGAGGCATAATAATTAAAAAAAATTAAATTTCAAATAAATTTTAAAAGATTAAGTGCTTTAATTAATTATATTAGTCATGAAACAAACTAATACATGTTAATCTTGTTTAATTTCTATTCACGCGGTGATTGTTTTAATTTTTTTTAAAGAAATTAATAATATTAGATGAACACATAATAATTATAATAATATAAGAAAGGTTTAATATAATTATGTCTTGTGAATGTAAGCTTATATCTTTTAGCTATGGATAAAAAACATAATATATATTATATAATTAGGCTTGAAGCATTTTAAAAAATAACCTTTAAAGATAATATATTTTTAAAAATATTTTTTTTATAATATTAATTATTTTTAACCAAGTTAGATAAAATTACTCTTAATAAAATTACACGTCATGATGTTACATGTCACAATTAAGTTATTACATGTCATGTATAAAAATATTTTACACTGTTAAAAATTTTTTTTTGTTACATACAAAAACATGTTACACAACATATTAAAAAAATATTATTATTACACGCTATGTTAAAACAATATTGTTGTTATATGCCATACTTAAAAATTTTTTATTACACTTTAATGTCTAAAATATTATTATTACTTACAAATTAAAATTTAAGATCTTTTCAACTCTTTTTATTTTTATTTTTTATAATTTGACACCAATTAAAGTATTTTTAATATGTTTTCATAAATCATATTAACAACAACATTTCTATTGTATCTAAAATCTTAAATTGATCCAATTAAAAACTATTTCAAACATGATCATTTCTATCATTTTTATTTTATTCAAAATACTTAAAAATTAAATTTTTTAAATAGCTAACCATTTTAAGTACATCAAAACTATCGTTTGGTGTCTTGAAAGTTTAGGAAAAAGAAATCTAAAAGTGCAAAAGAGAAAAATTAAAAACATAACAGATAACTGTTGAAGAGAGAAATCGATAAATTAGAGAAAGCTAGGCAGTGAGAGAGAAAAATCGAAAACACAAATGAAAAAAAATTATGATGAATGGTTTAATATATTTAAAACAGTTTCAAGAGTATTTTTATTAAGTTATGACTAAATATGATTAAAAATAATTAAATTTATTTTGATGTTTTTATAAAGGACGGTTATTCTTCACATTTTTTTATTAGGTTTTAAATATTAATTAAGAAAATATAAACCATGTTTTTTAGGTTGATACAGTGACCGTTATAATTTGAAATTTTATTTTAAAAATTTGAAGTTCAAAGATGGACAAAATAAATCTCGAAATGAAAAAAGAAACAAATTCTGTTTTCATTAAATTACTAAAAAAATTATAAATGTATAGAATGCTTGGTGGTCGCGCGAGAAGTTGAAGAAGTCACCGGAGGTGAGAAGTACAGTGCTGCTTCGTTAGGAAGGCAAAATGAATCACGCAGCCCGGTCGACGTGTAGGCTATATATAGCAACCACCTCGTTTCCCCTTTTGATCTCAAGTCTATCCATCAGTGCAAATGAAGAAAATGTTCTTGTTTTGGGTTAGTACAGTTCCTGATATAGTTTGATTTTAGTTAATCTTTTTTAGTATATCTGTTTTAGTAAGCTTTTCGAAGGTGTCGATCGGAGATCCATCGCCATTAATTTTCTCATCCATTTTTATCTTATTTTTGTTCTTGCAGTTGATTGCTCCAACTTAGTGATCCAGTTCATCTGGAAAGGGAAAGAACGGAAGATCAGGTATATCGCGCTTCCTATTCCTACATCACCTCTTGTTTTGTTCATTTTGTTCTTCCTATTCCACCATTTTCGAAGGTTTATCCTGTAAGCAGATCTCCCCCTTTCTCCATTGTTCCTTGTTCTGTGCTTTAAGTATAGGCGCGTTGACTTGATACCCGGTTACTGGATTCCCGATCTTGTATCTGATCCATTCCAGCCGTCAACAAATCGTTGTCGTTTGGAGGGTTAAGAACCAAAGAATTCAAAATTAGGCCAAATTAAGATGCAGCTTTAAGTCTCAATACCGAAGGGCGGAGGACAACTTCGTAAATCTGAAATCAAATAGAAGGTGAGAAGGAAATATATATAGTGACTGTTGAAGGTCGGTGTCTACAAGAAATGGTGGCTTCTTCTAGTGCTGCTAAAGCAGCAAAGACCAGCAATCACAAACAAACGGGTAGCACAGCAACAACTGCTGATTTTAAGCAAAAGGCAAAAGCACCTCCAACTCCAGCTCAGAGAAGAGCGAAACAGTTGGTGGACAAAAGATACCGGGCAAACAAAAAAGTATATTAGACATATAATATATTATCAATTTCATTTTCCATGATTGTATTTATACGTTCAATTTCGTTTATCCATGACTTAATCCTGGCTTGCAATGCTTCCTGTTTTATAAATACAGAGGAAGTTTGAGGAACTTCTGGAAGAAAACCTGAGGATGGGTGCGGAGCTGGAGGAAAAGAACTCTCACATAGTTCGCATAACAAATGAAAACCAGGAACTATGGAGAGCTCTTAAGAGACAGGTACCCACACTGCCATTTCTCTAGTCCTTTACTATGTCTTCTTTCTTTCCTTTTTCATTTTTATGGGTTGGATTATGCAATTAGTAAGTCAATCATTTCTCTTTCCTAAAGCCAATCTTATTTTGACTTCGAAGATTATTGATACCAAACGTTCCGTTTAACTACCATTTCAGAAGGGGCTCTATCAATTGGGGATATAGCCGTCTAGCATTTTTCATTAAAACTTGCTTGCTTTAATATTTACAACCAACCTTCATCAACTAAGCTCATTGTGATTAATATAGTTTTCTTGGTCTGCTAAGCTTCATTGATAATTTTTGAACTACTAGCTTGTTTTGGTTTAGCTTAGTATATAATAACCTTGATTGTAATAATTTTGAATGTATGGCCATTTTTATAATATGGCCATGGTCTAGGCCTTGAAGTCTCCTAGGGATTTTCTGTATCTTTTGATGAGAAAAATCAATAGGAAGAGAATACGGCACTACCCATTTTTAATTTATTTGTATTTTCCAGGAGGCAGTTGTGGAACAGATAGGGGTACCACTCTGCCATTTCTCTCACCCTTTTCTATCATTCTTTCTTTCCTTTACTTTTTTTTTGAAAGTTATTATCTTTTTATTGCGTATAAAATCAACATTTTATTATTTTGTTTTAAATTAAATAAATTTTTATAATAAATAATTGACTAATTATTATTAGCTAAAATCTCACATATTATTTTATATCACGTTGTGCTATTCCTAAGCCTGACAATACGGCAATACCCATTTTTAATTTATTTGTGTTTTCCAGGAGGCCAAGGAGGAACTGATGAAGCAAATTCCCTGTGCATGGAAAGTTGACGTACGGAAATCTATCATTGTTAAACTAATAATGTTTAATTGAAGGATAAGTGCATATATGAGTTTAAATTAGAAAATCTTTACCTTTTTCCAGTTTTATTGCTCATTAATTCATTTCTCTTGAATTGCAGGGGACAAATTTTACTTCTTTTGACCAGGTATGCGGAATTTCATTGATGAAATAAAGTCCCATGCTTACCTATGAACATGTTGTGTGATCTTCCGTGGAGTATTGAACTCTTATTTCTCTTTATTGCAGGCGGAAACCTGGTTTCTGTCGCAGACCTATGATCAAGGTTCAGAAACTTAATTCTGAAGCTCTTTTACAGGATGCTAATGAATTAATTTTACTACCTTCTATGGCTGATTTTATCTGCAAATGGACTTTAATTAGTAATTATCTCCATCCCTTGATCAAATTGCTGGGCATTCTATTAACTGAACTCTAACTGTTTGCAGGCCCGAACGACACTAACAACAATGCAACTACTTCTGCTGCTGCTGGCCCCTCGTGTGTTGCAAATCATGGCTTGCCAAAAAAAGCAGATAATAATCCTTTCAGTCATGACCCTGCAGCCGGTAATAAAGCATGTTTTTTACATTCATAGTAATTGGTTTATCTTGTTTACTTCTTATTCTAATTCCCTCAAATTGGCAAAGAAATTTACATGTTCCTCGCCATACTAAAATTTGCTTTTGTGATAGTTACCGCACCTTCCTAAATTTAGTCGTCCTGATTACTTTCTTGTTAATTTAGGATTTCCAACTGCTTCTGTTGTTGGCTCCTCTGCCACATATCTTGAGTCGGCCTCTGTGTTTGATGCGCTAGATAATCTTGATATCAGTTCTCTTTTCACTGATCATGACCTTGCTGCCGGTAATCAATCAAGTCTTTACGTTCCATCATATTGTTTCATCTTGTTTGCATCTTATTCTTCCCTCAATTTTGCCTTTTGTGTTAGTTAATTTTAACTCTTAACTACAATGTCTTCTTATGTATAGCTTCTTAAATTTACTCATCCTGATTATTTTCTTGGTTGATTTAGAATTTCCAAATCTCTCAGCAGCTGGCCCCTCCTTTATCACAGATCATGACTTGACCTCTGTGTTTGATGCGCTAGATAGTCATGATATCAGTGATCTTTCCACTGATCATGACCTTGCTGCGGGTAATCAATCAAGTCTTCACGTTCCATCGTATTGTTTCATCTTATTTATATCTTATTATTCCCTCAAATTTGCCTTTTGTGTTAGTTAAATTTAACTCTTGAACTGCAATGTCTTCTTATGTATAGCTTAGTGAACTTACTTATCCTGATTATTTTCTTGTAGTAATTTAGAATTTCCAACTTCCTCTGCAGCTGGCTCCTCATTTGTTGCAGGTCATGACTTGCCTGTCTTGGTTGATGTTCCAAATAATCATGATACCATCAGTAATCTTTTCACTCATGATGACCCTGCTGCCGAAAATGAATCAGGTTCTTACATTCGTCATATTGGTTCATGTTTCTCTTGAATGTCTTCTTCTATATAGCTTCTTAAATTTACTTGTCCTAATTCTTGTTTTGTTAATTTAGGATTTCCAATTGGTTTTGTTGCTGGCTCCTCTGCCGGAAATCATGACTTGCATGCCCCCAAATCTTACGATATCAGTGGTCTTTTCACTCATTACCCTGCTGCCGATGAAAAAGCAGGTTTGTACATTCATCATATTGGTTAATCTTGTTTATTTCCTGTTCTTCCCTCAAATTCATGTCTCTCATTATACTAGAAATTGGCTTTTAACCACACTTTCTTCTTTTATATGCAGCTTTGTAAATTTACACTGAGAAAATCCCATCTTCAAAGACGGTTTAGAGATGGTACCTATAAGCTCCTCACCTCCTCAAGCATATATGCACACCTTTTCTATGTGAAGAGCTATATAATGGTTAATTTATTGTGCATGCCACCAAGTTAAGGAGCCATTTATATCGTCTCTGAATCTCGCATATTTTTTGCGTGTGTTTCTTAATATTTTGATCGTCTCGGAATCCTTTTTATATGTATTTTTGGAGATTTATATCGTCTGTGCTTTTTATATGTATTTCTTCAAGTCTTGGACCTTTTTATATGTATTGTTGAACACGTATTTTTATGTTATAAGAATGCGTACGGTGTTTGCTTAATAATTGGGAGATGGATTTAGGAATTAGTCATTAGCAATTACAGCATTGGTACCAAATGACTGACAGACCCACCATTACAGCACAAACCGGGGGACACATTGTAGAAACTGTTCTGCGGTCCCTACCGTGGCCCACACCTGTCCTCTTCCAAAATGTAGGGGTATAAACTTTTTCAAAATTCAGACACCCCAACACAGTGTTATCTAATTCATAAATCATCGGATCTTCACCTCAACCTTTTTAAGTAGAAGGGATACTCGTGCTTGGCTGCTCATATTATATCCCTTAGGATTCCTAAACGATGGATTTTTGTTCGAGAAATTTCTGCATTACAGCCTTATATCCCTTAGGTGCATGGGTATAAATGTTTGGACACAAACAATCAGTTGGCATTAGAGACCATCAAGATGCCAAAGCCACTCTGTTGTGTGCTGCAGACTGCAGTCAAGTTGATTCCCGGCATCAATCCCGTCTTTGATCCCCGATTTATTCAATTTTAGACGTTAATTTCATTTATAATATTAATATTTTGATGATGATGATGATGTGAAATATTAATTTGAAACTTTTTTATCCAGTAACATTCATCAACACAAAAAAAAAAAATCTTAATTACAAAATAAAAATTGATAATTAAATTAATTATTATTTATAAAAAACTAAAAAAAAAGAGAGAAGAAATAGCGGAAAAAGGAATAAAGGTATTTTAGATATTTCATGTGAAATTATAATTAAAACTTGAAAATGTTGGTATATTTATTTTATTTCAAGACCTATACACCCGGTTGATTAAGCATTTGCTCGCTTACAAAATGTGTAATTTTTGTTTAAACTAAAAATACAGTGTAGCCTTCAAATGGCTGAGTTGCAGCCAGGGAAAGGAGGCGAAAACAATCAAGTGCTAAGAGGCTTGCCCCAAAATTGTTCAGCTACATGGATACACTGCCGACGCACCTCTGACTTGTGCTCTTCCAATTTCTTGGCATGTTTCTCCTCTAAAGAACGAAGTTCAATCTGTAATTCTGACATTCTCCACTGTATGCTCTCGAGGTCTTTTTGATCATGGCCTTGGTCATTCCAGGCTTTTAAACCATAGTATGCACGAGCAATGTTCTTCAAGTGATCTATGGCGAAGATCCCTCTCAATCCGATCCTCAAACCGCTATTAATTGCATCTCCCCAAAACAACATTTTCTTCTCGTCGACTTGGTCAAGTGTTAGCTTGTCCATCTCTTTGATTACAGAGCAGAGTAGGATGTAGGAAGGCCTTACTATACAGGGGCTCTGTCTACTCTCTGCAGTAATATCACCATACACCATCTTAATGCGCTCATCAATGGAAGCCAACGACGGAGGTAAATTGCTTATACCACTTGCTTCCAGTTCTTCCTTTAAGCCTTGGAAGTCTGAAAAGTCCACTTTGCTTTGGTCCATGGCATCAAGTTTCTTAGTGAAATCTTCCACAAGCTCATCGGCATACTTCGTATTACCAGTTTGAGGAACACTCCCTTGAGCTTCAGTAACAGGCTCGCTATTTGCGACTTGTGCAGTGGGAGATGGCACCAGAAATGACTGAGTCTGCAGGGAAATACAAAAAGAAAAGGATCATGATTTTCAGAATTAGAAGATCATCACTCAAAAAGTGGTGCGCGCAACACCATTACTGTATCTATATATACCTCTTCAAGCGAATCAAAGCTCACGTCCTGCAATATAATTAAGAGAGACAAATAAATCATCATATCAGAGATCATAACCAAAGTACAATGCCATAGAAGTACAATCAAAGAATTACATCTACTTGGATTATTAAAAAAGCCCTCAGCCTGGTCATGGGCTATAGCCTATAGTTTGACATTAAATTCAACATTTCTTGACAAAGAAATAACAAGATTTACTATGACATTAATTTACATACCTCAAAGATTTCCCATGGGGAAGGATTTTGATTTGTTTGTGGTTCCTGAAACACATAAACAGCAGGAAAGTATATATATATATATATATATATATATATATATATATATCCATTAGCATTGGGAAATAAAAGCGTTTTGTTTAACTTCAATAGAACCTATTACTAAAACAAGAATCCTTTAAATATATATATCAACTTACCTTAATGAGAGCGTGGATTTCTTGCTCTGTGAAGGAAAGAACTTCAACCTCCACCACATCCGAGCGCCATAACAGCCACATCCCTCCCACAAATCCCAAGTTAGGCGTAACACGATAAGTATCAAAATGAAACGTGTCTATGATTTCTTTCGCTCTCGCACGAGATAACTTGGTCTCAGCAATGACCAAAGCGGCTGGTCGGAAACGGTTGATAAGATCCATCACAACCATCTGACCGTAGGTATTCAGAGTCCCTACGGAATTCCACAGCAGAAATTTTATTGGAAAATTGGGTTGAGCACCACATGATGAACTCGTGCGGCCGGATAGAGCCGAATTCTGGATCAAGCCAACATCTGATGGAGACCATCCCAAATTCTCCCAAGATTCCTGGTTGGTCTGGTGAGGGATCCACTCGAACAAGTACTGGAGCAAATCCCCTTCGGGACTCGCTGAGCACTTGCCCCTCAGCCGGATGCAAGTCACTTCCTCCTTCTTGGATGCCACAAACAGGAATGGGACATTCATCGTGAACTGATTGGTCACTGTTTCCTTGTCAATGACACTCTCCGCTGGTATTGCTGGAATTACCTGGGTTTGGACCGCAGCGCTGATACTTAAATCTGGCATCAGCGGAAGATGCGCCTGTGGCCGTACGGTCGCAGTGTTCCATACCATTTGGTTAATCTCTCCACCTATTAGAGCCATTGGTTGTAATTGATTCCCATGGAGGAGCAGACTCTTCATTGACGAATTAAACAAAGCAAAGTTTAATCAAAGACTATATCATAGAGGTAAAAATTAAGCAAGAAATTGTTCTTGGTTATGTCGTGTTACCCTCTTACGCGTCCTATATTTTCTATCAGGTGCAGCCTTTCCAGGAAGAGCATTCTCGAGTTCCTCTACTCTTTTATTAAGATGTGACTCCCTATTCTTCAGCCTTTGGTTCTCCTGCCTTAATTTGCTGATAATGTTTGTCTGTATCAGGAGTTGGGTCCGCAAGTCCTTAAACTGTGGTACAATTTGATTGAACTGGAACTCCACATTCTGAAGCCTCTCGAACTCCACCTTCATTTACAAATTAATTGTAAAGCATTAGTCTCTAATTCAACATATAAATTATAAATCACGGCAAATCAAATTGATACATATATGTATTTTCTGTACCTTATGTTCTTGCCGGCGTTCTCTATCACGATCATTTTTGGCTTTTCTCTGAGCTTCAGTTAGTGGACGTTTAGAGACTCTCTGATCTGAATCGTCTGCCTCGAAAGCAGCAAAGGCACTAAAATCCTCCATGGTTTTGGCCCAAAACAATCCTCAACGTTTTCTCACCATCTTTTCTTCGTTGAATCTAATGTCGACCTTGTTTATTCCACATACCAAACTCATCTATTAACCTTTAAAGCAACAGAGAGTCAACCATAACTGATACTTACCAAATTTATACGTTCTCCGGCAAGCGTTGTCCTCAAAATTGTAATGAATTCACGGAGATCAGCTACAGATATCCGCTGTTGACTTCCATACAGCAAAAACACGATGGACGTTAAAATAATCAGACCTGTATAGGGAGACGAGAGAGTTTTTCGTTTTTCTTTTATTCAGGATTGCGAAGGACCATATGGCATTGACCTCTTCTTTTATTTTATTTTATTTCTCCTAATTAATCAGACGCATGGGCCTAGCTCGCGGCAATATGTTTGGAATTAAATTATCCTATGATCGACTATAATAATTAGAACCTACATTATACACGAGTTTACCAATAACTTACTAAAGTGTAAAGAGAAATGGGTAGACTGTCACAATATTTTTAATTTAAAAAAATATATTAATTAATAAAAAATTCATATTTACAAAAAAAACTCTTACACTAATCCGAATTAATTTGATATTTCTAATAAAATTTACCGCCAATAATAATTCGAATATGTTTCTGATACCCATTTTTCAACCCACCAAAAAATAAGACATGAGATCTGACGCACGGGTGTTTTTTTTTTTTTTCTTCATTTTTTGGTCCTGTCCTAAATTTTGCTAACTTTATCTGTCAGAAGCCAAGTAGGCTTTAGTAGGTTATTCTTTAATTTCATGGTCCCTGTAATTACGGTGACTGTGGCTGCTTTGTGGTTATCACAGGACATAGACAACCCCATCACTTTCCAAATTACAGAAAATAAAATAATATTAATAGTTAAATAAACGTCATAGAGATTAGATCGATTAACTTCATTTTAATTTTTAATGAGTTTATACTCATTAAAGTGTTGTGTTAGTATATAGTAAAAGTCGCCAAATTTCAACTCATTTGATGAGACTATCAATGCAGTATAAAATTGTGCATTCATGGTATATCAAATAGTAAATCTTACCATTTTCACATTAATCCTAATCCAATGCCAATTTTTCTAGTATTGGGTTACAATATTTTAGCATTTGTTATGATATAATTTTACATTCGAGTTTTTGCAAATTTATTATTAGATGAAGATTTAAGAAAAGTTTATTATATATGTTTTCATGAGTTCTATCATACAACTTATAATATAACAGATATTTTTATATATTTCTATGGAAATCATCAGTAAAACTTACAGCCAGTGAAACGCTGCACGTGACAGATGACCTTAGCTTTAACGCCTATGATATTTCAAATTCTACCGAAAGTGATTTGCTTTCAATTTTAACTCAAACAAAAGGAAAAGTCGATTATATTCGTTGGTAGTAATAGAGAATTCAAAGGCGCGCCAGCACAGAGCACGACAAATATTAAAACAGAAAAAGAAATACTACACGTCAAAAGGCCTACGTCTGCCGTCTCAGGATAAGCTATGTGCGCGCGCCGACCAATTGATACAGTCTGGAAACCACACATTTGCATATTTTTCTACCATGACTAGTTCGATTTATACTCCTTTACACATTCTTCACATATACCCAAGAAACCCGACTTTGAAAATTAAAAAAAAAAAAAGAGAAGAAAATAAATCGTCTAACTCAAATTCGATTAATTAACATGCCAAGGTATTTTAAGAGTTAAGGTTCTGTAAGAAAAAAATAAGAATGAAAAAGAAAAGATTTGCCCTAAACGAGAAATAGCGACAAGTGCAAGTCAACGGCAACGGCAAGGAAAAAGAAAAGATTTGCCCTAAAAATCGCTGATATTCAATTTTAGGCAGCTCCCACACCGATAATTGAGAGGGTTCAGACTGGAAAACCAAAAGAAGAAGCTGGAGGATCAGATCGGGGACGCTATGGTTCAAAGCCGCTCGCTAAGTCCAGCTCAAAGAAGTGCAAAGAACGAGCGTGATCGACGACGCAGGCGAGAGCGTAACGTACACAATACTATATACTGATTTACTGTAATCTTTTATGAATTTTCGTTTCCCATGATTTTACATCTTTAATTTGAATCGTGGTTTGGCTTCTCTTCTCTGTTTTGCAAACGAAAGCTGGAGTTCGAGAGACTGCAGAACGTGGCGGCTAAGTACCAGGAAATGGCGCCTCTGTTGGGCGCATTGCGGGTCGAGGTCACGACGGTAAGAAACATTATTAGCCAATTAGCCGAGGACAGCAGAAGGCTGAACGATGTGGAGCCAGATCTGACTAGAAAGATACATCAACTAGACAACATTGTTCGTCAAAATGTACAGCTTCTTTGACTCTTTTCTCCTCTCCTCCATTTTGCTGTGTGTCTATTGCTCGGTAGAAACATTAGCTGAATAATTCTCTTATCCCTAATTCCCTAACCGTAACAAAATCCTTTTTCTTTCATGTTTCTATTTGTATTTGTATTTTGCAGCAAACAGAGCAAGTAGAGAGAAGACAACGCCTTTCTCAATGGCAGGTCACGGTTAAAATTTATATCACATTGAATCCAATTACCTTTTTCTATAATATAATAGAGTAGTAATCCTTGCCTCTCTAAAACCATCGTTCTCCTTTGTAAAAGAGAGATTAAAAGCTACTTCCTTTGTACTATCAACTGTATCTAGGCCACCTAATGTGATTCTTCTCTCCTACCTGCTGTTTCAGATGCAGGAAATGGTTCTGCCTACAATTGGAAAAGAGGCAAATAACGAGCCCATTGATCTTGGCGTAGAGAGTTCTCGTTCTGATATACAGTATACTGACGAGGTTCTTCAAGATTTTATCGAGAAACTTGATGACAAGGAGAAAAGTAGAGTGGACTTTCTAGACTTCAAAGGATTGCCAGAGGAACTGGAAAAATGTGGGAGATTCAGTTTACCACCTTCTCTTGCTCCCATTCATGAGATCCTATTCAAGGCCTACGGAGATATTACTGCAGAGAGCAATCAGAGCAGCCCTGTGATTAGAGATTCCTATATACTGTTTTGCTCTGTGATCAAAGAGATGAATGAAGTGCAACTTGAACAGGTCGACCTGGATAAAATGATATTATGGAGAGATGCAATTAATAGTGGTTTGAGCATTGGTTTCAAAGGGAACTTTGCTATCGAGCACTTGAAGAAAATTGCTCGCGCATACTTTGGTGCCAAAGCACGGAATGACCAGGAGTTAAAGAGCTTGGAAGAGAGGATGTCGGAATTGAAGGCCGAACTGTATGCCTTGGAGAAGATGCATGATAGCATCATAGAAAGTAAGAGTTCTGAGATGTGCCGAGAGTGTCTTCGGGACGAAGAATATTTTCAGGGCAAGCCTCTTAGCGCTGGTCTGTTCCTTTCGTAGTCTCTCTTATAGGATTGGATCTATCTTGCAGAATGGAGAAGGCAGCCTATCTTATGAATTCATTGTTCTGGCCAAGGTCTATCCTATGTTCAGTATTTACTTTCAATAATAAATAAAACATATTGCATAGGATCAAAGGAAGGAGGAACTTAAGTTATAATCTTAGTCCAAAATGCAATATGAACCATTACGCCAAACATGAGATATCAATAATATAACTGGGACTATTCGATAAACTAAAAATAGAGTAGCTGTAAGAATAAACTCTCATTGCATCATCTATATATATTTCCCAGCGGAATGTGCTGACACACCATAAAAACTGGTTGGTACCAGCCAGAAAGGAGTGGGGGAATGCATGTTGATCTGTGTTTGTAAACCTTATTGTGCAAGGATGAAAATTCAAAAATTCTGACGGGAGCCCATAGCTAAAGCAAACAAAGAATCTTATCCATAAGATTGCAGAAAGACACAAGGATAATTATATTTCAATACCCAGAAATCCCTCTTCATACCTTTAACCAAAAAAAGTTTCCAAAAAAGAAGAGAAGAATTTCCTCTAGTCCTGGTAAGTACCTCGTGGTCTTGTTGTACCTTCTAGAAATCCATCCCCATATCAAAGGGTATGCTCCAACAGAAGAATAGTTTTAGGAAGAGGACTGGAGTATCTTCTTGTAGTCCTGGAAAGTTCCATGGAAAGGGCTCACCTTGCCCTCAGACACCACCCATAGTTCATCTACACTTCCAGATATTAGATGTTCATCGTGACTAACCTGCAGGGAAGAGCACATACAATTCCACCCAAGAAGGTAAAAAAAAAAAGAGCAACATCTTCCCAAATATTTATTCATAGTGCTATAAAAATAACAAAGACAACAGGACTGATACCATTAGAATCCCTCCTTGGAACAAAACAAGGCCTTGAATTAGTGCCTCCACAGCATCCAAATCCTAATTTTAACACCATTGTCAACAATCAAATGCCAGAGTCAGTTGTCATAGCATTGTCTGCTTATATAAACTTTCCATGCAAACCCTGGAATTAATGAACACTTAACATGTCCTAATATCAAGAAATAATCAAAATTAATGACTTACAAGATGATTGGATGGCTCATCAAGCAAAATTATATGTGGTTTCTTGAAAGTTATCTTTGCAAAAGCAACTCTGCTTTTTTGACCACCTAGCATAGCAATCAAAGTAATTAGAAACATGTATGCACATATGCACATACAGATACCTACATAAGCATACACGATAATTCAAAATCCTTGGCTATTAATAGGATTAATTCTTTTATAAAATAAAGAAAAGCATTAGGATTAATTCTTTTATAAAATAAAGAAAAGCATTCTCTCTGCATACTTTTAATGGTAGGCCTTCAATTAGCTAGTAAGAAAACCTTCTTGAGGACCAAAGTTCAGTCCAATCACTAAATATCAATTAAAAACTGACTTCAAATTATCAATTATATCCAAACATAGGGTAGTAGCATACCAGACAAAGTATACATCGGCTGCAGTGCAAGATTTCCTGTGACACCAAAAGAACCCAAGTGGGCGCGAAGCTTTTGTTCAGGCACTCCCTGCAAGACGGAAACATCAAACAAGGGATCTAACCACATGAAGTTACCTAAAGCACCATGCCCAAGAGCAACCAAAAAAAAGCACGAAATAAAGAAAGACTGCCATTAAGGCCTTAAAAGCACTATAGATGATCCTCACATCACACATAAGGAATAAGAAAAATATGAAAACTTACTGGATAACAGCGCATCATATATAATAGGGGATTTGAAGAAAGGTCTAGTCCATCAACATGGTGCTGACTAAACACAGCAATGCGAACCTGTTGATATAATAACGTCAAGTCTCTTCCAGCCTAACATTGATATAAACAATTACAGTTTTTATAATCCTTATGTCAACATAATGTTAGCCCCCTTATCAAATGCACAAATTATAATGAGTGTATGTCACTGTGCTTTATCTATATGTAGTATTTCTTCCATCCAAGTTTGAATATCCTAATCCCCTTATAATCACAATCCAAAGGAATGCCACTTTTCAATTATATGATCTTTCATTAGTGATATTTCTCTTTTTTCAAAAGCTGTTTTATTAATAAACACCTTTCAATATTGATATCATTGGAGATTTTCAAATTTTCTAAGTTATGAAAAAAAAGGTTACTTTGAATATACTGTTTCCCTAAAATTGCATCCAATGTCCAGCACGACATTCAATCAAGGATTGAAGGAGTAATTTATGAAACAGTACAGGGTCCAAATGTGCAATAAATAATTCAGGATTTCTCTTAGTAATGTCAAAACATTTTGGGACAATCCAAAGTTAAAGATAAACCAATATTATGGGATAAAGGGAGTCTAAACCCAATTGCCAAATGTGGGTCAATGAGGAGAGAAAGATTAGTCATGTATGTGGTCAAGAGTCAAGGATAGATATCTGAATGGTGCAACTCAGAAGAAAATTTGGTGAGTAAATAGATCTGCAAATACAGAAGAGAGAAAGGGACCATAAAAAATAGCATACGTATAGAGCACATTCCGATTTCCATAACTTAAGTACTAGATATTATTAAAGTGAAAATGATTAAACAAGTGACTAGTATGTTGAAAAAAATTAGTATTTACAGTCAAAGTATAGGAATAGGTCTCTGATGTAGTGACTCCAGAGACGATACAATAACTAGTTAAATCCCAATCTCCAGAGAGGTAAATATAACATGATCCAGAAGGAAAAAGTTCATGCGTAATGCAAGAGAAACTAAGCAACGGTATTTGAATTGTGATTACCAGAGTAAGTAGATTAAAAAATATGTTACATAAACAAAAACAATTGAAGTTTAAGATACCTTAGCTGAACGAAAAACTGTCCCAGAGCTTGGTTGTAGTTCCCCAGCAATAAGTTTAAGTATTGTTGACTTTCCAATCCCATTTGGACCAACCACTGCAAAAAGATACATGCACATAGATAAAACAGGAGGAAAAAATGAGCCCATAAGTGGCACATTGTCCAAATCAGGACAGCGAAAGGCACTAATTTCTTGAATATCCATGATTGCTCAAAAATGAGCATTTAGAGAAACATAAAATGGAACGATATCTTAATCTAATTTTTGTTGTAAGTATATTTTTCAGCGTATAAACATTTATTGATATGCAAACACTAAAAAGAGGCCCTTCTTTCCTTCTCCTCTTATTCTTTTCTTTTTTTGGTTCTTTGATGAGGGAAGTGCCATGTGATTGTGTGAGGAGTAGGAAAAAGAGAGATCAAGGTCAAGGAGCATAAATGAGGTAAATACAAAGAAAAACTCAAGAAGCAATCATCCTTACTTGCTATGCGGCTGTCTAGATCTATACCAAAATTGAGATTCTTAAACAATGTTGGCCCCCTAGGATAGCCAAATGATGCATCACTGCAAACACATTCAAGAAACATCAATACTGACCAATAAGCAGCCCATCTAAAACACTTCAAGCAGGAGTCAACTTGATTCTATATTGTTATTTTGTAAAAATAAAACTTGAAATAATTTGTAGGCAGCTATCAATACCTTAGCTCCAAAGTCACAAAAATAAAATGCAAAGTAGCACCAAATTGGAACTTCAAAAAGTTTCAGAACTGACATCATCAAAATTCTTAAAGAAGCACCAAAAACAAACCTGAAACTTATGATAGGAGGCCCAGGTCTATCATCTGGAGTTGGAAACTCAAACTTATAACTGCATAACAAAATGGCAAACTCAATTGTAAATAAATAAAACTCCAATGGATCTGAATGCATATTCAAGGTCTTAAAATTGAGAGGATTCAAGCACTGAAGGAGATATACTCAGGGTCATTAACAATTTCATCTACATGCTCCATCCGCTCCAATGCCTATAGAAGTAAAAGGAACCAATCAGCTATGGCATATCCACGGAGAGAATTGGACCAATAGTAGTATAAAGGTGAAGAAATTACTTTAAAATAATCCAAAATAATGCATAAATCACCTTGATTCTGGACTGAACAAGGGATGCTCTCTTTGCATTATACCTAAATTTATCAATAAAGGCCTGCGGATCAAAGAAAAAAAAGCAGTTAAATGTCAAATACATGGTGCTACTCTTTAATATAAGCCAAAACAAAAGGAAATTAATCACAAAAAGTACATGGGAGCACCCTGAAAATAACAAATCTACCACCTAAAAATGGAAAGCATATCAGAGACAACAATGAAGGTTATACTCGCAACACATAAATTAAATATATGCCAACTTGGTTGGACAGAGATTTATAAATAATACAAACCTTCTCCGGTATGAAAATAGAATAAAAGGAGACTAAAGGTTTTTACTATGTGTAGGATGATAGTATTAAAAAGGGGGGCATGGGGGCTGGGGAGAGTAACACTCATTAGAGATTGAAGTATGCTCTGAATGACTAACCTACTCTAAAGATATATCAAACAACATTAAGAGGCATAAAAAGAACATCAATAAAGAAAAAGAATAACATTGACTTAGTTTTATTACGATGACCATCATCAGACAAGAAACAATGCAGCATAATGTATATTGTATAAATTTTGGGCAATGGAGAAAACCTGCATATGGGATCTTGCTCGTTCATTTGCCTCAATGGCTTTCTGTTGGTTCTTAACTTGTTCCTGCCTAGTCTTCTCAAAGGTATCGTAATCTCCTTTGTAGGCCGATAATTTTTGTCCTTGTAGATGAATAATGTCAGTAACCACCTGAAAATAAAAGCAACAGTTTAAAGGGAGAAATAGAAAAATCCTGTTGGAAAGCAGACACAATTTACAGGAAATTATTATATTAATCAATAATAGTTATTAGGATTAACTAGAGAATAAGCAGCTGAAGTTACCGTGTTCAAGAATTCTCTAGCATGAGACACAACTATAAATGTTTTTGGCCATTTCACCAGGTATGATTCCAGCCATAGGACAGCATGAAGATCAAGATGGTTCTGCATATAAAATATAATAAATATATACCAGGTTCTGAAAGAAAACGCATGTCATGAAGCAAACATAAAACACACAACTTACAGTAGGTTCATCAAGCAGCAACATATCAGGCTCTATAAACAGCGCACGGGCTAGAGCAATTCGCATTCTCCATCCTCCAGAAAATGTTTTTGTTGCCTTCTGCTGCATTTCTGGAGAGAAACTGAGACCCTAGAAATATTTTGGGCCAGTGTGATTAGAATTTAAATGAATTAAGTGATGCAATAGCACAAATAAATTCAATATCATTATACAACTTAATGTGCATGACATGTATTCTTTTGTTTATACACTATAGTTAACCAGGACCTAGAAAGCAAGCACACAACAAATTGGAGAAATTTTATAATTTAAGCAATTTGGACACCTATCCAAAATCTTTATCATGCTTTGTGCTGTAGCAGTAACTTTTCCTGCCATAATATTAGGTGGTCAGCACACACAGACCACCACAAGTCCACAACCTTACTTCTTTATACCAAATAAAGTTTTTTCTTCTTCTTTTTTTTTTTTTAATTCTACTTAAATTCTCATTTTCATTGTCGATTATTTAAGCTTTAAGCTTAGATCAATCAGGCACTTTTAAGTCACCAACCAAATACATTATTTGAGAACTTACTGCAAGAATAGAGGCTGCACGAGACTCTGCTGAATCCGCATCAATGGCCTCAAGCCTTTTATAAATCTCCTCGAGTCTTTGGGAGATGGCATCTTTGTCAGGCACCCCATTTAGATCTCTTTTTCTCTTTCCATTTTCATCTTCTTCAAGATCCAATTCTCTCTTAAGAAAACAATAAATTTATCAGCAGGATCACTAGAAAAGGACAGAGGTAAATGGATTTGAATCATTACAAAGATTAAGTGCTTTCTTAGATAAAATGCTAATTGTTCTCAACCTGCTGTGCAAGTAAATCAGCTTCCTCTTTCAAAAGCTGGGTTCTTTCAATATCAGAGTTAAGAACGCATTGCAAGGCTGTTGTATCATCACCAACTACTTCTTGCTCAACATGTAAAATCTGGCAGTTTGGAGGAATTCCATCAATAGCATGCATAGCCATGTACCTAAGGAAAGTTGTCTTCCCTGTACCATTTCTTCCAACAAGACCTGCAGAGAGAAAGCCACAACAGATCAAAAACAAATCAACAAGAAAAGCAACAACCAGGAAGGCCTAACTAAGGGAACACTATTCAATATGGATCTTCATGAAGTTTCTCATTTTTCTTCTTTTCCCTATTCTTGGCATGAGAGCAATACTATCTGGGTTAAATAACGAACTTAACCCACCGTAATGCCTTCCAAATGATAGTGTAACTGAACCATCAACAATCAGATCACGACCACCAACAGAAACAGTGAAGTTCTCCATATGAATATCCCTAATTGCTGGTCCACCAGTGTCATGATTCACACAGACAACAGGCATTCCTTCCCTAGCTGCTTCCATCTCTGCTAAATGCATCTGGTATTGCGCCTGTGCAATACGTGACATAAAAACACAATCATGAAAGGATACAAGTACATAACTAAATAGCTTCTCAGTTGTCTCACATTAATGCAAACCGAACACATTCATAGAAGCAATCAACGTCACCTAACACTACAAAAAACAAGTGCATCTAATCATTAATATTGACTTCTTTATCTATGTTGTACCTCTCTTTGACGCTCCTCCTTCCTCTTCCTCCTTTCGATCTTCATTTTATCACGTTCAGACAGCAATGGACCATCAACCGGCTCTGGCTTTTTCTTTGGAGCCTCCTCCTCCATACCTTCATTCATCCTCAATGGCGTTGCTAGACTCCGAACAGTTGGCTTTGGTTTAACCAACCCATGCTTTCCAAATTTCTCAGATAGTTTACTACAAACCTACCACAAATCCCAAAAAAAATTACAAAAAACTGCCACAAAGAATTCTGCTTTTCTTTCCTCCAAGATTAGGGAAATTATTATTCAAATTGACATTTTCTTAACCATTATCCATGTAATAATGAATTTTATGAAATGAGACAAATAGTGGAAGCTACCTGGCGGCACTCGGAGAAGTCTGAGACGCATTCGGCGGCGACGAGAAGCTCGCCGATTGCTTCGAAGGCGCCGTCGCCGTCTTCTCCGAAGTCAAAATCTTCGTCGGCGAGGACGTTGATGACGTAATCAATGATTGGTTGATCCACATCCTCTGCTCTGCGGCCTAGCACCTCGTGCACCACTGAGCTCGCCACTTCGGTCATGGCAAACTTTGATTTCTTCTTTTCTTCTCTTTCCTTTTCTTTATATAAAGAATCGAATGGCGAAGGAAAATGGGAAGAAAAGAATGGCTTTCTCTGGTTCTGTTAAAATATAAGGTTTTGGGGTTTTGTATGCAGATTGAGATGGGACCGGAGATGGGCTTTCTGTTGGGGTTTAAACGACAGCGTTTACGGTAATAGGTACTAGTTTTACAAAACCACTGTCAAAAAAGCAAAACACAGTTGGAGGTTTATCCCAGATTGACACGCGTCAAGCGGTCAACAGACGTGTTCTTACCATTTTAACCCGTCCAAGGGTCCTGGAGCCTAGGACCCGTTAACCCATATTCAAAGTCTCTCTCTCTTTCTCTCTCTCAAAAATCCTATATAAACAGAATCTGATACCAAACACAAGGCCGCTAATTCTCTGTCCTATCGAAACATCACCCATCTCGTATTTCGTGTCCGCCGTTAGTTCTTCTTCTATGCTTTTAAATTTGTTTATCAAGTGATTCATTCAATGGACTGAAATTGTTGGTTTTGTTTTTTCTAAGGAGTTTGTTGGAAGATGAGGCTGTTGAAAGTAGCCACGTGCAATCTGAACCAATGGGCAATGGATTTTGACTGCAATTTGAAGCACATTAAGGAATCCATATCAAGAGCCAAAGAAGCTGGTGCTGTCATCAGGCTTGGACCCGAGCTCGAAATCACTGGCTATGGCTGTGAAGATCATTTCTTGGAACTAGATACAGTCAATCATGCGTAAGCTTTTCCTTTTTTTCTGGGTTTTTTCTTCAAAGATTCATGGAACTTTACTTTGATTTGTGATGTTCTTAGAACTTGGATTATCAGCCGTTTGTTGGTGCTTAGAATTAAATTGAAGTGCATTGCTTCTTTGATGGGATGCGGCATATGCTATTAGTTTTTTGCTAAGTTTTCTGTATGTAAACTGAAGCTTTTGGTATTTTTAATTGGGAATGTACCCCTTTTTGTTCTCAAGGATAATGATTGGTAGATTCACTGTCCCAAAGAATTCCTTAGTTGGTCTTGTAGTCTTACAGGTGATGATACTTTGCTTCTCTGAAATGACACATGGGGTTATTTGTTTGCAGCTGGGAGTGCTTGAAAGAAATACTGCTTGGTGATTGGACGGATGGCATATTGTGCAGCATAGGAATGCCTATTATTAAAGGATCAGAGCGTTATAATTGTCAAGTTTTTTGTTTTAACCGGAAAATTGTCATGATACGGCCAAAGATGTGGCTTGCAAATGACGGCAATTACAGGGAGCTTCGGTGGTTTACAACATGGAAGCAAGAGGACCAGCTTGTAGAATTTCAGATCCCACCTGAGATTTCTGAGGCCTTGTCACAGAAATCAGTGCCTTTTGGTTATGGATACATTCAGTTTTTGGACACGTAAGCATAATATTGCTGGTTCTGCTTTTATTAGTTTGATAGTATTAAGTTTTCAACTTTTCTGTCTTAGCCAATAATGACATCTTAACTGGATTACCTATTGATTAGGCATTATTCACTTATCCATACACATAAATCATCAGAAGGGTCATATCTCTTCTATGTAATGATGCAAATGTAACTTCATATGCAAGGAGGTTACACTGCATATCATGGGAAACTTTGTCACTGAATTCTTGATGAAATGATAATATTCAGGCTGTTTTACTTCTTGTTAGAGCTGTTGCGGCTGAAATTTGCGAAGAGCTTTTTGCTCCTATTCCTCCCCATGCTGAGCTTGCATTGAATGGAGTCGAAGTTTTCTTGAATGCCAGTGGAAGTCACCACCAATTGAGGAAGTTAGATCTTCGGCTTCGGGCTTTTATTGGTGCTACTCATACTCGTGGAGGGGTATATATGTACAGTAACCACCAGGGCTGTGATGGTGGTCGGCTATATTATGGTAAATGACATGCTTCTAGTACACTATAAATTTGTTTGATTTTATTATTTCCCACATTTTACTTAGTGGTGATGTCAGTCTATACTTTAGCATAGTATTCAATGCGCTATATATTTTAGTGGTATGCTTGCTTTGGTTTTTGCATTATCTCGTCTGCTCCTTAGAAAATGTTTTCTTTCATGGAAAAGATATTGTTTGGTGTATTGAGCAGTAATTTATTTGTTTCAGATGGTTGTTGTTGTGTTGTTGTAAATGGAGAGGTGGTTGCTCAAGGCTCACAGTTCTCCTTGAAGGATATTGAGGTGGTGGTTGCTCAAGTAGATCTTGATGCGGTAGGTTGTAACCTTGCACTCGTTCATTGTGTGCATGGTTGTTGGGTATTGAGAAAGTTCTCTTTGCTGAAACCTTGAATGCTTTTAGTAAACTATATGCCATGTTAAGGCTTGATGCAGAAAAGAGAAGGGCAAAAATGGAAAAAAGATGATTTCCAATATGAGAATTTCTCCCACAAGTAGTCTGATAAAGAATTAACATGGAGGCAATTATTAAGTGCTAACTACTACTAATGCCTAATGGTCACAAAGAAGATCCTATTCATGCAACTTGGTGGCAACTTAGAATTCACCTTTTTTCTAATGTTGTGTTTATAATGTCTTGTTACACTTCTTGCATTTCTTTGTATATGACAGGTTGCTAGTTTAAGAGGATCTATAAGTAGTTTTCAAGAACAAGCAAGTTGCAAAAGCAGAGTATCATCAGTAACAGTGCCTTACAATATTTGCCGACCTTTTAACCTGAAAATGTTACTTTCCAGTCCACAGAAGGTTTGTTCTCGGTCAGAAAACATTGTTCTGAAAATCAAAATCATTTCCAGTATCACCAGTTGCTTATTACCTAATTGCATTATTTATGAATTGTAGATCATGTATCATTCTCCTGAGGAAGAAATAGCATTTGGTCCTGGCTGCTGGCTATGGGATTATTTAAGAAGAAGTGGAGCTTCTGGGTTTCTGCTTCCACTTTCTGGTGGCGCAGACAGTTCCTCTGTAGCAGCTATAGTTGGATGCATGTGCCAACTTGTTGTCAAAGGTTAGTGTTAGGATTTCATAATATGCTGGTCACTAGCACTTCATCTTTTCTGCTTTTATACAGGATTTAAGAAGTTAAGTTCCTTAAAGAAGAATTATTTCCTGTCATTAAAACCTGAGCGACAAGTCTTCTGTAGCATATTTTCTGTTTTTAATTTTGTGCTTGTATGTTTCAGAAATTGCAAATGGAGATGAACAAGTTAAAGCTGATGCAATACAGATCGGGAATTACACTGATGGGCAGTTTCCTGTTGACAGCAAAGAATTCGCTAAACGCGTATTTTATACAGTATACATGGGTTCTGAAAATAGGTGAGTCCACAAAATGGATCTATTGCTCTTCTTTCTTCAAGCTAGTCATAACTTTGTTCTGTTGGCACTATATATGGTACTAAGCATTAGCATTACAGGGGGAAAATGAGTGTTACTATTGCAACAAAATTTCTTTATTCAGTATGAATGATCATTTGGCACTTGATATAGATTGTTACAATTCTTGTAACTCCCAATTTTGGTTGCTCTTCAAGAAATTTGTGACCTATTATTTATCCCATTGTTTTTTCTTAGGGCTTACTAGAAACTTGTTGTTCCATTAGCAGCTGATGTTGACCATCTAGTCAGAAGATTAAAAGAAGAATCAGAAAACTTTGTTTGTATTCCTTCAAAGTGATTTATTGTTTTTCTAGAAAGTTTAGGAGAGCCATGCCATCTACATGTTTGCTTTCAATAAAAATCATCCTGAAAAGTTTTTTCAATTTCCTACTAACAATTCGAGGTCTTTAGAGTATATGATGCATTTATTAGTAGTACATATCACCAAACACAAATTTTTCCAGTTTAAGTTAATTGTTCTGTTTGAGGAAGATATTTCTATTTCAGAATAGTTGCAGCTTCATATTCTTGAAATCTTACTGTATAGCAATTAAGGGGGATTTCATTTATTGCAGTTCTGAAGCCACAAAGATGCGGGCTAAGGTTTTAGCAGATGAGATTGGTTCATGGCATCTTGACGTTTGCATAGATGGTGTTGTTTCATCTCTGCTATCTTTGTTTCAGACTCTTACTGGGAAACGACCACACTATAAGGTTAACTTTGTGATGACAAGTTGTTTTCTTATTTTCTTCTATAGGTGGCCCAGCAGATGCCATAGCCATCCTGTGGTAGCCTAGGCATTATACTAGTACATTTTGTCCCTGAGTGCCAAATACTATCAATCGTCGCTTGGAAATGTCTTTCAATTATCTTCTTGAAGAAATATAATGTCGGGGAAAATTATTCTTTAACCAATCGTTTTTGACAGATGTGCGTCTGAAATGATTATTTTCCATTTTGCAGGTTGATGGGGGATCCAATGTTGAGAACTTGGGGTTGCAGAACATCCAAGCTCGAATCAGAATGGTGCTAGCTTTTATGTTAGCATCATTGCTGCCCTGGGTTCACAATAAAAAAGGGTTTTATCTTGTTTTAGGAAGCTCTAATGTGGATGAAGCATTACGTGGTTACCTTACAAAGGTACCAGACCTTTTTCTATGTTCCCCCCTTGTTAGGTATATATAATCAGTGTGTTATTCATGTCACCGTAGCCAATAAGTATATGCTAGAAAAGAATTCTTGCAGCAATTTACTTTTAGTATCTTTTACAGTATGACTGCAGCGCAGCTGATATAAACCCAATTGGAAGTATTAGCAAGCAGGATCTTCGGATATTTTTGCGATGGGCTGCCAACCACCTTGGTTACTCATCCCTGGCAGAAATCGAAGCAGCTCCACCCACTGCTGAGCTGGAGCCTATTCGTTCTAACTACAGCCAGGTATCATTTCCTGAACCTTTATAATTTATTAAAATTCTGAAACGTTTCATAATTTGCTTTTCTTTTTTACTAAAATCATCAAAATAAAGTTCAAAAGACAAAATATTTAACTCTATCTTCTGCATGAAACAGCTGGATGAAGTAGATATGGGAATGACATATGAGGAGCTATCAGTCTATGGAAGGCTGAGGAAAATTTTCCGCTGTGGTCCAGTATCAATGTTCAAGGTTTGATATTTGAACTCCTTATATACTAAATAGCATTCAATGTTTTGTGCTCTTTAAATATGTCAATGCCTCGTAGATGTGATGGCCATGTATAATCCCCATGGAAGGGGGTTTTTTCCCCTTTAAATTTCATACTTTGATCAACTCAACTCCCGCTTGAATGCCTAGTAGATTTCTTGAATCATATTTTTTAACATAGTCTTATTTACGTAAATATGGATAACAGTAGACCATATATTTTCCATGAGCTTGAAATTTCTAACTCCATCATGTGGATTAAACTACAGAAACAAGGATAACTGCAAACGTGAAATGTACTGCATGAAGAAAGTAAAAAAAAAGAAAAAGAAAGTGTTGGCGTGTTTCAAAAATGTGCCGGTCACAATCTGTTGCTTTATTGCGGATACTTAGTTTTCTGTTATTGTCTTATTTGTTGTAGAATCTTTGCTACAAATGGGGTGCAAGCTTAACTCCATCAGAGGTGGCTGAAAAAGTAAAACACTTCTTCAAGTACTATTCCATAAACCGACATAAAATGACTGTATTAACACCGTCATATCACGCTGAGGTATGTTAACTTCAAAGGCATTGATAATATTTTGTTTTGTTTTGAAGTCAATGGTGATGCTTTTCCGTTATTTCGTTTGTACTTCTTCCTGCAGAGTTATTCACCTGAGGATAATCGGTTCGATCTCCGTCAGTTCCTTTACAATGCAAGATGGCCATATCAGTTTCGCAAGATCGATGAACTTGTGCAAGAGTTAGATGGTGACAAAGTTGCTTTTGAGGAGTCAGGTGAGCACGGAAAACTGGGTGCTACGTCAGGTGTTGGTGGAATGGGAGTTGTGGCAGCAGCCTCCGGAGATCCTAAAGCTGGCCTTTAGTTCAGTGCAAATAACTTTACTCCCATTCTCTATTTTATAGAACAAAATCCATTTATAGAAGTCGTAATAAACTCATCTAAACTCACCCCAATTTTTATATATGTCGTCAAAGATGTGCAGAAGAAATAAATTATCTCAATAAAAGTGGAAAATTGAAGTGTTCAATTTCAAATATTCGGAACCTACCATCGAGAACGAGGTGTTGAGATCAGTTTGAAACTTTTAGTTGGTGTCAACTTCTTCTATAACTTTTTACGCATAAATATATTTGTGTCTTAAAGTCAAAATGAACTTAAGAAACAAAAAATTATGAGTTTACAATAATTCATGATATTGGTTTTTTAGATTGATTGATCTAGATGGTGACAATGGTTGCTCATATCATAATTCTTTGGGTTGATTGATTCGAGTGATAAAAGTTGTTTCTCTTATCATAATTATAAATTTTTACTCTGTGTATCACTTTATGTTATGAATTTGCATTTTTAATTTCAAAAAAACATATGTAAAATTATTACTAAATGCAAGACTTATTTTTGAAATTCGTGACACTCATTTTGACCCGTGTTTACCTCGACTCCATGTCTCATAAGAGTTCAAAAAACCTACATACTAAATGAAAGAGAACCGTTACTTATAAATCCCAGACTTGTGTCATATAATCCAAGACTTATCATTTCTTGAACCTCAAGGATCGCAGGCTCACAGGATTCTACGAGACAAACCCAGCCAATAAGGTGTGCGGGCGGGCCATTTATTTTGCTCTGGTGAAGACATTCAAGACCAATAACCCCATCGAAAGTTTAAGATACACAGGAATTAGAAAAAGTGTTCTTCCACATAAACGGAGCCGAATACAAAAGTAATGAAAACAAAAAAATCCCTTCAAACGTATCTTCACCCAAAAAACAAGCGAAGAGAGGGGAATATTTCTCCCTTTCCAAATTCTACCATGAGAAAAATTACAGTATCCTCATCTCACCTAACCTATGCTCTCCCTTAATCTCTCTCACCCCGTGCTTGTTCAGCGGCAGTCAAATTTAATTTAGAGATATTTAGAGTTCATCGTGCGAGTCATCCTCTTCAGTTGATTCACCCCCTGGGGCTCCACCAGATCTTTGATATACAGCGGTGATGATAGGGTTGCATACAGCCTCAACCTCCTTAAGCTTCTCCTCATAGTCTTCCTTCTCAGCACTCTGGTTGTCATCAAGCCACTCAAGGGCTTCCTTCACAGCGGTTTCAACTTTCTCCTTCTCATCGGATTCAAGCTTGTCAGCAAGCTTGTCCTTGTCATTAATTTGGTTTTTCATGTTGTACACATAGGTCTCCAGGCTGTTGCGAGCATCGATCTTTTCTTTCACCTTCTTGTCCTCCTCGGCAAATTCTTCTGCCTCGCGAACCATTCTGTCAATCTCCTCCTGGCTCAGACGACCCTTATCATTGGTGATAGTGATCTTCTCTGATTTTCCTGTGCCCTTGTCTTCTGCCTTAACATTTAAGATACCATTTGCATCAACTTCGAATGTGACTTCAATTTGAGGAGTTCCCCTGTGCAATTGAGGGATCAAACAGTCAGTGGGTAATTCAAGTGAAGATTTGCAGGCAACATGAAAGAGAACTAATGAAAGAGAGAGCAAACCTTGGAGCTGGCGGAATTCCAGTAAGATCAAATTTCCCAAGCAACCTACAATCCTTGGTGAGACTCCTTTCACCTTCAAAGACCTGACAATCAACCACAAGCAGTTCAAATAAGGTTCCACGTATTTCAGTTGAGCATAAAAAAACAATTCTCAGGCATTTCTAAGTTTTAATGACAAGCCTGTAAAATACCTGAATGGAGACAGTGGTCTGCTGATCCTGATAAGTGGTGAAAACTTGTGACTTCTTGGTTGGGATAACAGTGTTTCTGGGAATCAACTTGGTCATTACCCCACCAACAGTCTCAATACCAAGGGTAAGTGGAGCCACATCAAGAAGAAGAATATCTGTGCATACAGCATTGCACACAAATATCAGCCATAGTTCATTTGATTAGAACAGTTTCATCAGCTATAGGCCTGTATAGTTATAAACTTATATAGACAGTTACAGGACAAGAAAATGTACCTTTGGTTTCATCACCACCCTCTCCACTCAAGATGCCTCCTTGTACCGCAGCACCATAAGCAACTGCTTCATCTGGGTTAACACCCTTGTTGGGCTCCTTTCCCTCAAAGTAGTCCTTAAGGAGCTGTTGAACCTTTGGAATTCTAGTGCTTCCACCTACAAGAACAATCTCATCAATTTGGCGTTTCTCCAAACCAGCATCTTCCATTGCTTTCTTCACAGGTCCCATGGTCTTTCTGAACAGGTCATTGTTCAACTCCTCAAAGCGAGCCCTGGTCAGTGGCTCAGAGAAATCAATACCGTCAACAAGTGATTCAATCTCCACACGGACCTGGTGCTGGCTGCTGAGAGCTCTCTTGGCACGCTCAGCTTCCCTCCTAAGCTTCCCAAGAGCTCTGTTGTCCTTGCTGATATCCTTTCCGTGCTTTTTCTTGATAAGTTTGATAAAGTACTCCATAATCCTCTGGTCAAAATCCTCACCTGCAAGAAAAATGACCATAAGCAAAAACCCATAATATAAACAATTTTTAAAGGCTAAAAGAAAACGATAAAGATGCTTACCTCCCAAATGAGTGTCTCCATTTGTGGAAAGAACCTCAAATACACCATTGTCAATTGTCAAGATACTGACATCAAATGTCCCACCACCAAGATCAAAGACAAGAATGTTTTTCTCTCCACCCTTCTTGTCCAAACCATAGGCAATGGCAGCTGCAGTTGGTTCATTGATAATTCTTGCAACATTGAGCCCAGCAATAATGCCAGCATCCTTGGTGGCCTGCCTCTGGGCATCATTGAAGTAAGCTGCAAATCAAACAAAGATATAAATTTGAGCATAATCCAGGATTACACAAACAGAATCTTTTTCCGACAGAAAGCCTTGTTTCTTATAATGCACTCACCAGGAACAGTGACCACCGCATCCTTAATTTTCTTCCCAAGGAAAGCTTCAGCTGTTTCCTTCATCTTAGTCAGAACCATGGCACTGATCTCCTCAGGAGAAAATACCTTGGTCTCTCCATCCTTAATCCTTACTTGAATATAAGGCTTTCCATCCTTGTTCACAATCTTATATGGAACAAGTTTCATGTCCTTCTGAACCTCCTTGTCCTCAAACCTGTAAAGAACAAAAGTGCCCCAATAAGCATTACACTCCAATCAACCCCTAAAAATGAAACAAAAAAACATGCAAAGAATGTGAATTACTTTCTCCCAATAAGTCTTTTGACATCAAAGATGGTTCTCTCTGCATTAACAGCAGCCTGGTTCTTCGCAGCCTCACCGATCAGTCTCTCACTGTCAGTGAAAGCCACCCATGATGGTGTAATACGGTTTCCTTGGTCATTGGCTATGATTTCGACATGACCGTTCTTGTAAACACCAACACAAGAATAAGTAGTACCAAGATCAATTCCAATGACTGTTCCCAATTTCGTGGCTTCCTCCTTTGCAATCGAGATTGCAAAGAGACATCCTGTTTGCAAAGCTTACACAACGTTAATACCATTATAAAGCCATTTTAGTAACTTTATTTATGATCATTTTTTAGTGCAATCATAATGTCCACCCACGTGATTAAAAGTAAATTCTCCCTTGAATTAGAGATCAATATCAGATTTGGCAAAACTGCCACGTGTACCACATTTCAAACTAAAACAGAATCCTAACGAACTTTCTAGAGCATTCTCGTGCATAATATTCATAAATTATATGTTAAGATATTTAACATAAATCAAAAAAAAATTAAGCGAAACACAGGATTTTCATTCATTAGTTCAAACTTCAAACTCAACCTTGCTCACTAACGATCATTTAGTTCCAATAAAACTAATTAGTGAGTAATGCATTCTATAAATCCAGAAAATTCAAGTTCACGAATAAAAGGAGAGAAAATCAAAGGATAAGACTTATGAGATCGCTGAAACTCTCAGTTCACAATCTAATGCATCATTAGAACCGTGGAACCTAAATCAGATCTAACTATGCATCGATTTAAGAGCGATAAAATCATCACACAGATTTAGATCTACTACATTCCTCTCAAACAGAGAAAGGATCCGAGGTCACAAAATCAAGGGAAAACAAGCAGATCTAGCAAACCAAGAACTCACCGGACAAGAGTATCGCTAAAACCACTAAAGAGCCGCTTGCTCTCCACGAGCCCGCCATCGCGCGTCCTCAACTCTTATCTCTCTCTCCCTCCTCGCAGAAATCTCTTTGAGCTTTTTCTCTGAATGTCGAATTCGTTGTACTCTTTAAGATTATGAGGTTACTTTTCCGAACGAGACTTTCGTTCTAAGATGTGAGGGTGAAGGGGAGCGCGGTTCGAGCCTTTTATATTTGAAGCGTCCGCGTCTATCGTAAGTGTCCCGGAAGGTAGTAAAATGAGAGAACATGTCATCGGTTTGACGTGGACCAATAAGGTTTCGAGGACGGATTTGGTGAGCCAATGAAATTAGATCTTGTGTTGGGGAGATCGTGGCCGTTTATTTTCCCCAGATGTTCACGTGTCCGCCTCCCACTCGCTTGCTTTTCAAAACCCGTTCGTCACGTTGGACAATTTTGAAAAATTAGTATTTATTGTAAGTTTTTTTATTTATTTTTAAAGGATAATTATACAAAATAAAAATATTTCGTTTAAATGTAAATTTAATTGTTTGTAAATAAAAGATGATTATTGTTTGATAATTGTATAAATAGAATAATTCAGTGATGCAATTAAAGTACAACATTATTAGTTCGTTAGTTAGTTAATTAGATTACAATATTATTAACTAGTTAGAAGCACTATTAACTAGTTAGAGTTAAACTTGAATAAAATTTAACTTTTTATATATATACTTCATTTATCCTTGTAAATACAATTTTATAATATAATATTTTTCTTGTAATAATTATAATTGAAGGATAATTATATATAAAATATATTTTAATTATATATAATTGAAATTTTGTAATATTTGTTTATAAAATATTCATTGTTATTAGAATTAAAAAATTATTTGTTAATAAAAACCATTCAATATAATTGAATTTTTTATTTACAAATTGGATGAAACTCATTTGATACAATTAGAGATGTTAGTTTCACCTAAACTTGATGAGAAATTTGATACCTCAACCCGCAAATGGTGGATTTAGATATTAAAATTTGAGAATAGAAGAAAATTAAATTCTTCATCAAGAAAATGTAACATAATCCCCTCCTTACCTCACCCTCGATATATATAATTATTAATGTATATTATAATTTTATAGATTATTAATTTGTTTGAGACTTTTATAGTTATGAAATTATAAAAATATCACTTTTATATATCTAAGTCTAGTATAAAAATAAAGTATGTATAATTTGGTAAAAACAAAATATACAGTTTTCTTTGGTTAGTTTTGTAATTTGAATTTGTATTTATTTTGGTATATGTGTGTTTTTAGTTATTTTAAATTTATTATTTAAAATTTTATTTATAAATTACGAAATAAATAAACAAGAAATAAGAATCCCTCTAGATCTTCATGGAGGTGATGATGGGGAGGAAATTCCTCTACGATGGGAGGACGAGGATAAGGAAAAGGTTAATGAATTGCGGTAAAGGTTGAGGAATGCACTACTCATCGCCAACTCGTCCCATTGACATCTTTAGATATAATTTTTATATATTTACATATTAGATAAATTTATTAATAATAGATATGATAGTTTTTATAAATAAAAAAATTTAAATTTACATAATATTTATATTATTATTATCATAAACAAATAAATGTTACAAGTCTATATTTTTAATTTAAAAAATATAATTAATAAGTGATAAAAGGTTTTCGTTGCACCAACTCTTTTATTTATAAAAAAAAAGACTTCTATATGATTTATTTTATCATTTATATTTATAACGGGGTTATATATCAATGAATATTCAATATACTACTTATTACATGTTCATATGTTTAATTTAAAAAATATTTAATAAATAGTAAAATATTTATATATCTAATATTCACATTATTTCTTATAGATATGACATAAACAAAGTCCTAAACATGGTGACATTGTTGACCTAACATGTGAAGAAGAAAGGGTGAAAGCCAAATCGATTAGGCAGGACACAACACGAAAGTGATGTCTTAGTCTGAAAAAGGAAAGTTCAAAGCTAGACTTGTCAATATGGGTCAGTTCGGCCGGGTCAGCCCATATTTTATATGTACTACAAAATGTTCAACCCAGCCCACCCCTTGCTAGCTCATGGGTCGAGCCGGGTTAACTCATTTTTTTTAAAAAAAAAATTATTTCTATTACTCATCAATACAAGTATACAATTATACTATGATTTAATCCATAAATTAAATAATAAAAATATATTACAAACAAATAAATTACATCAAAAATAAATAAACAAATACATTACATCAAATATAAATAAAATTTTAAATTTTCAATATTTAGCCCACCCCTTGTTAGCCTATGGGTTGGGTTGGGCCAACCCATTTTTATTTTTTTTCAAATTTTTTTTTTATAATTTTACTTGATAAAGTTTTTATTAATAAAATTGTTCTATGATTTAATTCATAAATTGAATAATAAAAACATGTTACAAATAAATAAATTACATAATAAAGTTTAAATCTCTAACACAAACTACTATCTTATAAACATAAGTATATAACCAAATAATAAAAATTTCAAGACTCATTTATATCCTCCTCAATCTTCATTCTCAAGTAAAATATTTAAATCTTATTTAGACAGCAATGATGTCTTAAGGTTTGAATTATTATCAATTTATCATCTAATATTCATTACCATAAAAGAAAAAGAGATAATAAGTTTTAATTTAAATTAAAATTTTTAATTTGACAAGTGAAGATTAAAGACATTGGAATATATAAAATAAATAATACTATTGGTAACTAAATTATTGATTTTTCATAATTAAATATATAAAATTATTAAATTAATTAAAATTATTTTTTGGCCCATGGGCTGGCCCTGCCCCATATTTAATATTTTCAACTCAACTCACCCCATATTTAATATTTTTTGACCAAAAATTTTCAACCCAACTCACTCCATATTTAATAAAAATGAATCAACTTTATGAGCTCAACCCATTTTGACAGGTCTATTCAAAACCCTACCAAATAGACAGAGAAGGGGTTGGGCCTGTTAGATTGGCATGGAGTGGGCTAACTAGGTCCGCAACCTCTCATTGCCACGTCCAAGTCAAGCAAAGAGCATTATGAATTGACTGATCGTAATTTCGCGGCTTTTCCCTCTAAAAACCTTAACGCTTAAGCCACCAAAATTAACGGTCCTTCTAACAGCTTCCCGTCCAATCAATCAAACAGATCATATTTTCTTCCAATCCCTGCGCTCCACCTGTCTTCCTTTACACGACTTCCAAATTCTCATCGACGCTTTGAAAACTATTTGACAAGAAATCGAAGCTGGATTTGGCGTGGTGTACATACAACTCTCTCTCTCTCACTTACTAGACTCTCTCGTTCGCTGATTCTTTTAGTCCTAACGAACTCTCTCTCTCTCTCACTCGCTCGTTTTCATTTTCTCACAATTTTCCTGCAAAATTTAAGCAAAAAGATCGCCATTCGTCAACATTTCCGGCCCTGATTATACAAACCGGAAAAAGAAAGAATCCGTTTGGATGGCGGTCGCTTCTCCGTCTGCACCAAGCTTTTCGGTCTCTTTCCGTTGCAGAGGCGCTGCAGAGTCTTGCATTTCCAATCGCCTGACGCGGTTTCCTTCCGTTGCGTTTACGCGTCCCCACCACCGCCAGTCTCTACCTTACGTCAAACGGCTCTCCATTGCGTCGAGTCTAAATTCGTCAAGATCCTCCCAGGATGGCGACGTTCAATACGAGTTTCAACAAAGGGGCCGGCAGGAAGGGTCGCCAGTCTACGTGAAGCTCCCCGTGGACGTGGTGGGTCCGACGGCGGGACAGGTACGGCGCGCAGAGACCATGCCCTATTCGCTCCATGCGTTGGCTGCGGCTGGGGTGGAAGGCGTGGTGCTGGAGATTTGGTGGGGACTGGTTGAGAGATATGCGCCTGAAGTTTACAATTGGCATGCGTACATGGAGCTGGTGAAGTTGGCCATGCGCAGCGGATTGAAGGTTCGGGTCGTTATGGCTTTTCATCAGTGCGGTACGGGACCTGATGACCCTCACTGGTGCGTTTCATCGCGGTTTCTCACTTAATTTCGTAATCTTTATCTGTTTTTCTAAATAAAAAAATGTGAAATGCCGATGTTATATTGAATTCTTGAGTTTGATTACGTTTTATGAATATTTCAGTCAATTCTTTAGTTGAATCTTGACTGTTCACGCACGTTCGACGTGATATTGCTGAATTAATAGCTTGTTATTGTCATTGACATTACCTAGCCTAGTAACCATACATTTAATTGGAGTTGTTTCGATTGTTTCTTCTGTCACTGTTGGACAGTGACAGGTTTCTTTTCTTTACAAACCTTTAATTCTTGGTTTCTTGTTAGTTTGACATCTTGCTCACTAGCTGGTCATAGATACACGCCATTCTTGGGCTGTTCAAGCATTTTTATTTGCAGTTGGACATCAAAGGATTATCACACTATTCACATTATCTTAATTTATTTGTTCTTTTTCAAGATAACTATCTTCCAGGAAGCAATATTACTTCGTAAGTATTGTTCCCATTCATCTTTGTCCAGTCAATAACCTCAGCTAAAATGTGCCTAATGTAAGTTGTTTGGTTTGAGTTGTTGAAGGTTCTAATTCATCTTTGGTTTCGTTAGGCTTTCACTGCCCACAAGTCTCATCTCTCATCATCAGAGTTCACATCTTTATGACATTACAGAATGAATGGAAGACATTGCCACAATTCTTTCCTATTGTATTTCACTGCAAGAGGAACCTAAGCTGAAATAAAGTAAAAATCTAATATGGCCAAGTATAGAACCTAATGGTGTTGGAGATCATAAATTGTAATGTTCTGGAATGGTGATGGTGCTATTTGCTTTGAGGTTTTTTAATGTTGTCTCTAGTCAGTCACTATAACCCAGCCAAAAAGAAGGAAGAACCTTTTATGGTTTCTTGACCAATGGCCTCCATCTTTGCTGTGGAAGTGTAGGCACTCCAGAGTAGTGTCTGGTGACTGAACACTGACATCCAAGCTACTTCTTTGTTCAACTTTTGGAGTTAAAGGAATCTAATGAAGATTGAGTTGTTTATGTTTTTGTCAGCTGCTATCAGGTGGTAGATGCAACAAAAATTTCTATTAATGGTGTTATCTTTCATTTCTTTGCTTGTAGTGTTGGTCCAAATGAAGAGTTCTTTTGCTGCAATTTTTGAACTGTTAATTGTTCCTTGTTCACACCTTTTTTGCTTATATGCTGGTGGTTCTGAAACTTACTTTTTTTTATATGTTCAAGGATTTCTCTCCCTACTTGGGTGCTTCAGGAGATTCAGCAAAATCCTGATTTAGCATATGCTGACAAATTTGGTAGAAGAAATATGGAATATATTTCCCTGGGATGTGATACTCTTCCTGTCTTGGTGGGACGCTCACCTCTCCAAGCATATGCAGATTTCATGAGGAACTTCAGAGACACCTTCAGACATTTTCTTGGTTTTATAATTACTGTAAGATAATACAATGCAACTTCAGTTCACTATATTCTGTAGTCATGAATATGAATTACAGATTCCTTGATGTATATATAAATTAGGCATTTCATTATAGTGTTTATTATTATGCAGGGAATCCAAGTTGGGATGGGTCCATCTGGTGAACTAAGGTATCCTTTGTGCACTTTTGAACTAAGGTATCCTTTGCGCAGTTCTGAAAGGCTGACATGGTCTAGGCACTCACATGAACTTGGAGAGTTTCAATGCTATGATAAGGTAGGTGGAAAGGTTAAGCACAAAAAGTTTGCATGTGGATCTGTACTTGTGCCTTTAGGAATTAGGAGTTTTCATTCTCATAATGACATCAATACTTATATTGTTTTTTCCCCACATTTGCTTTGCACAGTATATGCTGGCATCTCTGAATGCCCGTGCTAAAGACATTGGGATGCCTGAATGGGGCAATGGGGGTCCTGTTGGTGCTAGCAATTTGATTCAAAATCCTGAAAATACTGACTCTTTTGAAAGTGATAGTGGTTCATGGAATACACCGTATGGTAAATTTTTTCTTGAATGGTACTCAGGGATGCTCCTTTGGCATGGGGAGATGATATGTAGGGAAGCTGAGAGCATTTTTCAGGGTACTGAAGTTAATAAATCAACAAAAGTGGCAGCGATATACCGGCATTATGACACACTGTCTCATCCATCGGAGCTAACAGCTGGCTACTATAATACTTCCTCCAGAGATGGATACCTTCCTATTGCTCGCATGTTTGCTCGGTGTGGGTTTACACTGTGCTGCACTGGTTTTGAAAGGCAAGATGCAGAAGAGAAAAAGAGGAACCCTGTAAGTAGTCCAGAGGGATTTCTCAGGCAGCTTCTGTTGGCTGCAAAGGTTTGTGATGTACCACTAGAGGGAGAAAATTATGCAACTACTTTTGATGATGAATCATTTCAACAGGTGCTCAAAATGTTAAAATTCTATTCATATGGTCAAGAAAAGTACTCCCTTTCATTCAACTTTGAGAGGATGGACAAAAACTTATTTGATAATCATAATTGGATCCGTTTTGTTCGTTTTGTGAAGCAAATGTCTGACGCCAATACTTTTCGAGCCAACTTAGGCATTGAAGATGATATGCACTGGTCCTCCGCATCAAGTGTTGACAAAATTGGAACGACTTTTGCAGATTGCTAAGGCAGAATGTGCTTACAAGCTTCATCATCAAGGGAAACCTTATACTTGCTCTATCCACAGATGTGTATACATTTAGATTACTGATGATATCTTATCCATTGCTGTGAAATGTGTAGCCATGCATCATTTTTTTTTTTACTGTGCTCTCTCAAGTCTTGAATCTTTTTGACACAATTATTCACTGTATCATGACATATTGCCTTCCTGAGATTTTTGAAATGGTTGACTTCTAATGAATCTGTACATGTAATCCAAATTCTTTGGCTTGTAGACATGGGATTTCTGTTTCTTATATGATTTGTCAAGTTGAATATCTGGTGGCATTTAGCTGTCTCCAGGGGTTTAGAATCCTCTATGAAGAATGATTGTAGTCTTAGGCAGCTCAGCATACACAATAAGAGCAATGTGAGGTTAGCTTTTTTAGGGCGTGAGTTGCCTTTAAAGATTCAAGATTAGGCAGGGTGTTATTCACCACCCTTCCCCTTCTGACTTCTTTGAATGTTCTCCTACCCTCAATTCCCCTCCGGACGTAGGCATGATAAGAATTAAACATAGTCGTCATGCAGGATATGAGCATGCGATGTAACTAAGATTATGAAATTCTACATCCAGCTGGCCTCCTCTAGGGGGCAAAACCTAAGTCTGTGAACCATTGATGGGGGAAACACTTGGTGGGCACTTTTCTTTTAGGTGATTGGTTGAGTTAAAAACAAACAAACAAACAAACAAAGGGAAATCGTGGAACCACGTACAATGGATACTAATACTACTCCCCACATGGTTTTCAAGCAATCAGGTTGTTGATCTTCATACTTTGCCACATTTAGTGCTTGTCTAAATGCAAAGGCCCAACTTCTAAAGTAGAACAGGCAGCAACCCTGCATTTAATGTGTTCCCGATTTAATTCCTGACATCCATAATGATGCCTTGTCTGATCTGTCTTCTCGTCTGAAAGAACCATTACAACCAAAAATCAGGATACATGATGGTGATGGAGACCACTTATCTGGAGGGCTTTCCTTTGCCTATGCTAGAACCGAAAGGAGCCTCATCCGTTAGTTTTGGCTTTCCAGCATTGATGGATTGGTATTTTACAGTACATACTGTTTTGAGCCTGGGAAATCACATACTCTTTTGGAAAACACTCACTTGATAGCAGAGTAAATACATGTATGTAAGGTTCGGATTCAATAATTGTATGATTGTTAGCAAAAGAGTGAGGCTTGGGAGTATCTCAAACATTCAGCCAATGTATTTCAATTAAAACAAAGGATAAATTAAGAAGAGAGGGGATCAACAGGGTGAGAAAAGCATGAGACTACCCTATATCACTGTCCTCTGCAACAACGATGATTCACACTGTCCGTAGCCCTTTCTTTTTTGAGGCAAATCCCTACTTGTGGACCCCTGGAAGAAATAATATTGCTTTGACATAGGGAAACCATGTACTGTTTCAAATTATAACCCACCTGGTGTTGTGCCATTTCCTGATTCCTTCCCTGGTTCACATATAGACAAACACAGGAATCCACTTTTTCACCTGCAATATAGAAATGTAGCTCCATGATCAGGATTTTAGTTTTATATCAACTTCTTTTCAGACCATTTATATCTAATTATGAACAAGTTCCCAAATAAAGGATCTATCTAGCTAAGCACCCTACTGCCTATTTACCCCCTATCAGATGATTTGGAGAATCTTAAATGTCTAATACACCTCCTGAGTACGTCAGTCCTTGTCTCCTGATTTCATTATTAGAAAAAAAACAGATCACTGCACAAATTTCTTACACACAAAGGTAATTAGTCCAATTAACCTTTATGCTAATCTTATTTCGTTATCTTTTCAATGTCATGAATGCCCAGAGAGTTGGGAGTATAGTAGTCTAGTTGGTAGTATATTTCAGCTGCAGGGACTGAAGAATGACAAGCAAAGGTAAACGCCTGAAAATAAATTTCTTACCCAATTAGCAGCTCTTGATGGATTGCAATGGAACGTACAGGACTCGAAGAGAAAATGATTCATATCAGTTGGTTTGCGGCTAGAAAAAGAGTAGAGTGATTTTCGTGCATCAAGAAAGTAGAGACCAATGAAGGGTATCTTAAATTATCACTAAGCAGATTGATTAAAGTTGGTTTTTTAGGAAAAAAGGTGGGGAAGGTTGAGTGGTCAACTTAAGCAAGGTGCAGTAACTTAATGCGATATGACTGCCACTTCCATTTTATGTTGATGCCAACAAAAATCCAAGGAGTGGATGAGCTTTCATTTCCTTTCAGTGAAGGCCCTCTACATGAGAGATGGGCTTTGTCCCATTGTGAATGTGACAGAGAAAAAGCTAACCAAATGTAGAGCTGCTGGTTATTGTACTGATATTGATGCAGTAAGCGTTCATCTTGAATAGCAGACACCGAACAGCAAGCTGTTCCTGTATTGTTTGACGATCAATTGGAGCACTTATCCACCAAGGGTTGTCATAATCAAGTGCCTCTGCAAATCTTCAAAAGACTGATTAACTTGATCAGTGCAATTGCATGGACTACAATTTGACAGGGAACCCGAAAGATATCAGCCATTAATATATGTAACAGTCGAAATTCTTTGGTCACAGGAAGCCCTAATTTAATAAGAGCAAGCTGCATGAAGTAATTATTATAATCCAGCTGTTTAGTTTCTAATTATAGCCTTGGTAGTGCCAGCCATCTGTTTCTCAGTTTGCCAGCAAAAATCTGATGATGTTGGAGATGAAGTTTGTCTTAGTAATTGGATTGATTCCAGTTCGCCTCGACAAAAGAACATTACCATCATTTCTTCCATCTAGGGAAAATTAATTTAATATTAGCCATTACCGGTGCTGATATGATCTACATTTATAGGATATTAGAGTGTAGCCTATCTTTTAAAGTTGTATTGCAATTGCTTCACTTACTATAGCCTTTCCAGATAGTATTATACTGATAAAGATCTACTACATGACAAGAAGCAACTCAATTAAGTCTGATCAAATTAGTATTGTGAACCTTTGTGCAAGATCAGATGACATATATCATTCAGTGAAGCACTTGGGTGTTGATTAAACATGGAAATCACTTTGTAACTATATTGGCTCATGATAAGGACAGCAGTTGACAGACTAACATTGGATCAGAGCAAATTGCATTTGGTTCTGGTATAGAGTCAATAAGGGATCATTCACGAGATTGTTGACACTTTTGAAAGATTTAATGCGAATGCCTATAAAGAAAGACTATATGTGTAGAGCTAATTGATCCATGCAAAGGTTGATTGCTACCTAACAATTGCTTTTGGCAGATATATAAGGTAAAACCTAAGATTTATGAGGTGACAGAAATTAGTGCATCTGACTTTGTGGTATTTGCTAATGGATGTTGCATTTTCATCATTATTCTACAAAGCTTTCGAGTATTTTGCCATATAGAAACAGTGGGCTTGACTTGACACCCTTTAACAACCAATCTATAAATCTGCATTTTTCTCCTCCATTTTGACATCACTACCCGCAGCATCCAGCATGGGTCCTTATGCTAAAACCATGATTCTCCTTCTCCTTCTAGTCTATCTCGATCCTTTCATAGGTGAGCAAAATATTTCCATGCATTCCAAGTAAAGTAGTTAAGCAAATTTCTAGGCAGTTCAAGAGGTGATTAACGAAGTTTTGTATATTCTGCAGGCAGAGTCAAGGCCATGGAGCATGCTGCAACTGCAGCAAACTCTGCAACTAATAAGGTATGTTAACATCAAAGGATGTCAACGTTTTGTATCAGTCATAAACATTCATAACTTTATACTACTAATTTGAATACCATAATTTTTAATAAAACTGATTAGACATGAGTATAAATGTATCTCTAACTCAAAAAATGACAATGGTTCCTAACATACAATGACTGTTTTGAAGGGTATGAATCAAGTGAAAATGAGGAAGCTGACACTAGAAGTTGACACTCTAAGGGACTATAACCCGATTCCAAATCCTAAACATGAACCACCGCCGAAAGGAAAATCTGGAGCACCAGCAGGAGGTGGCAACTGAACCTGAGCTATATAAGCTAGTATTTTAATTCAAAGTTGAAGGCCCTCGAGAAGGATTACTTTCTTCTACTACTAAACTATGCTCTTTTGGTGGCCCTTGAGAAGTACTACTTTCTTGTACTACTAAACTATGCTCTTTTGGTGGCTTTTGAATCTACGAAGTTGCTTTCTTCTTCTTTTTGGGGATTGTCTGTAAGCTCTATGAGCAATTTTAATTGCTTCCAAGTTATGAATAAATGTAAATAATGGGTGTCTCATGGGCGTATTCAAGTCTTTTCTTCCTTATATTCTGTGTGCTAATTACAATTACGCATCAGATCTTGAACCAGGAGAGAATCCCATCTGGCTGGCTATTCCCTTCTGTCTTTTTCTCCGCCACAGCTGGCTATTTCCTCTGCTGTCTTGACCCTAAATTAATTACTATTTATATGAAAACTTAGCTAAAGAAATGGTGTTGACAGATAGACTGTCTGCTTTGTTTCAATAAAGAAAACCAAATGACTCATTGCTCTTTGATTCCATCTTTCATGAAGGTTTTACAGCAAAAAACTTGCATCATCGGTGATCTCCTTTGAGAGAGCAAATATTGTTGTTATTGTAGCTAATGTTAGCATAGCCAACTCATTAAAATGCAAAAAGAAATGGTGATGGTTACTGGAGGAGAGGAGGAAGACGTTAAGCAGCAAGCTTAAAGGAAGCCTGTGAAAATGGTTTGAGTGCAGCAAACTGCTGAATAAAACAAAATAAACTTCCAATTTCCAATACAGAAACAAAGAAAGAAAAAGGCACCTTTTGTGGTGAAGAGTGCACCAACATCTCAGCTTTTTTTCATTCATTGTTTTGGATTATGATGTTGCGACTTTTGTCACTCTCTCTCCCTCTCCCCTCCATTGTAAGAGAAGAATTTTGTCTAAATTAAGTAAATGTATCAAATCTGATATATGGTCATGTAATAGGATCCATGCATCTTATCTCATATGATAATGCAAAAATATTTACTTTTATAGTAGTTATATTATTTAAAAAACGTGTGAATTAAAACGACGCCGTTTAGAAGATAGACGACAGCCGCAAGGAAGCAGTGTCAACCAACGCTATTTTCCCACGTGGCAGGCGTCTAATGGTCATGCCTGAGAGCGTCGGAAACGGCACGGATTTATCCCCAAAAAACAAGGCAGTTGAAAAGTAGGTAGTGGATCTTATTATTACCAGTTACAGGTTACGGCTATCTATTGTATCAACTTGACTACTTCTACTGCTACTTAAGTTACCATCCGTTCGTTCGTTCGTTGCTTGTCTGTTGGACGATAGTTGTGCAACTTACCATTTTGTCCTCGCACACAATACATAATCACGAGACTGACCCCAAACCTTCCTCGAAGTTGAACTTCACAAAAGAGACTGGTGGCCTGTTCTAATCGTAAATCCTTTTCCTTTCCTTTGTTTGTTTTTTTTTTTGTTTCAATTCGTTTTATCTCTGAACTCTCATTTCTCTCCTTTTATCGAATCAGGCAATTTCTCTTTCCTCTTTCAAAATCAAATTTCTAGTTTAGGATTTCCTATTTTATTTGTTTTCAACCAATGCCGGGCCTCGTCTCCGTTAAGTCTCCACCCGACGCGCCACCACTACGAATTTCAGTTCCGGAGCAGGCACCGCTACATAATCCACCACGGACTCCCAATAAAAAGGTTCCATCTCCTTCCCCTTCCCGATCTAAGCCTTCCCCCGCCCGCTCCGCCAAGAAACCTCCACCCGAGTCACCCAACCCGGATGATTCCTCACTAGACAACCCGGATCTCGGACCCTTTTTACTCAAATTGGCCCGAGACACTATTGCTTCCGGTGAGGGTCCTAGTAAGGCTTTGGACTACGCGATTCGAGCGGCGAAGTCGTTCGAGAGATGCGCCGTGGAAGGTGAGCCCAGCTTGGATCTGGCGATGAGCTTGCACGTGCTGGCGGCGATTTATTGCAGCTTGGGGAGGTTCGATGAGGCGGTTCCGGTGCTGGAGCGGGCGATTCAAGTACCCGATGTGGATCGGGGCCCCGATCACGCGTTGGCTGCGTTTTCGGGGCATATGCAGCTGGGGGACACGTACTCGATGCTGGGTCAAGTGGAGAAGTCGATTGGGTGCTACGAAGAAGGGCTAAAGATTCAGATCCAGGCTCTGGGAGAGACCGATGCGAGAGTTGGCGAGACTTGCAGGTTATTATACTATCTTTCTATAATGAGTTATTGTTAAGATTTAGGAGATTTGGGATTTTTTGGGTGTTTGTGTTCAATCGGGAAAGGCGCAGATTTGGACTATCTGGGGGGCGATACAGAGATAGTGAGAGGGAAAAGGGGAAGGGGTTATATGGTAATTTTGGTTGAGTGCAATGAAATCAGCTCCTCATTGTGATTCGAAGCATTAGGGAAGGAGATTTATTTTCTTGGGATTAAATATGGCCACCATTTTCTGTATCGCTCCTTTTAAGGAAATGTGTACACTTTCTTTAAAAAAGACTGAATTTGACTCTTTTATACATCCGATTCCTCTGGCTTTCCAGAGGATTAATCCCAAGAAAATAAGTTTCTTGTCTTTGGAATTACTGAATGGATCATGGGATTTAACTTTAAAACTGCAGGGATAGTAGTTGTCCTTAAACTAGAATATGGTTCATTGTCTTTGGAATTACTGAATGGATCATGGGATTTAACTTTAAAAATGCAGGGATACTAGTGAAGGTTTATGTCTAGCTGGATGTATTTACTTTTCCCTACAGGGATTCTTGGTATTGACTTTTGTTTTGCAATAGATTTGTTGTATTTCCATGTTTTCCCCAGAATGAATGTGTTTGTGCATAAAATAGTATGATTTTTGGTTACATCAATTGTATGTTCATGATTAATGGTAATGATAGGTACTTGGCTGAGGCCCATGTTCAAGCAATGCAATTTGATAAAGCTGAAGAATTGTGCAAGAAAACTCTTGAAATTCATCGTGCCCACAGTGAACCAGCATCGCTGGAAGAGGCAGCTGATCGCCGGTTGATGGCACTCGTATGTGAGGCAAAGGGAGATTATGAAGCAGCCCTTGAGCATCTTGTCCTAGCCAGCATGGCAATGATCGCTAATGGACAGGAGAATGAAGTCGCTGCTATTGATGTCAGCATTGGCAATATTTATATGTCTTTATGTCGCTTCGATGAGGCTGTCTTCTCCTACCAGAAGGCACTAACAGTATTCAAGTCATCGAAGGGTGACAACCACCCTTCAGTTGCCTCTGTTTTTGTACGTCTTGCTGACCTATACCACAGGACAGGGAAGCTCCGAGAATCAAAGTCCTATTGTGAAAATGCCCTGAGGATCTTTGCAAAACCTGTGCCTGGAACCACAGCAGAAGAGATAGCAGGTGGGTTAACAGAAATTTCTGCCATATACGAATCTGTGGATGAGCCTGAGGAGGCATTGAAGCTGTTGCAGAAGGCAATGAAGTTGTTGGAAGATAAACCAGGACAGCAAAGCACAATTGCTGGAATTGAAGCACGGATGGGGGTTATGTTTTACATTCTTGGGAGGTATGAAGAGGCAAGGAACTCTTTTGAGAGTGCAGTAGCAAAGCTTAGAGCAAGCGGGGAGAGGAAGTCAGCTTTCTTTGGGGTTATGTTGAACCAAATGGGCTTGGCTTGTGTCCAATTGTTCAAGATAGATGAGGCTGCTGAGTTGTTTGAAGAAGCAAGAGCGATTCTTGAGCAGGAATGTGGCCCATGTCATCAAGATACTCTGGGAGTATATAGCAATCTTGCAGCAACTTATGATGCTATGGGAAGGTATTGAATATTTTAAACTACTCTGCATCTAATTTTACTCAACCTAGCTTATGATTGACATGCATGGAGATCATTGGTATTAATTTGTCTTGCAATGGATTGTAGGCTTTGATTGCAGACAAAATGGAAATAAAAGAAGGAATGAACTGAATATGGGAGTGAAAGTTTGATATAGCAGTTCCCATTTAGTTCTATCACATATTCTTAAAATTATCTCAGCATCTAAAGAAGACATAGTAAGCACGGATGAATGTGATATGCTTTTATATTACAATGCTTCTAATTGTTCTTAATGTTTTATTTTTAGTTTCCTCTATGACTGTTTTAAATCCAGAATTTAAATACTCGTTGGATTGTGTACCATTAATTGGTAATAATCTTTTGATGGAAATTCAGGGTTGAAGATGCAATTGAGATCTTGGAGTACGTACTAAAATTGCGAGAAGAAAAACTTGGTATTGCAAATCCTGATTTTGAAGATGAAAAGAGTAGGCTGGCTGAGCTCCTGAAAGAAGCAGGCAGGTCCAGAAACAGGAAAGCAAAATCACTGGAAAACCTCATCGATCCCAGCTCAAGGAGGACGAAGAAAGAGGGGGCAAAAAGATGGCCTGGTTTGGGTTTTAGAATTTGAAGGTGTTCCACCAAGCCCATATCTATTTCCTTTTCAACATATGCACATTCTGTAACATAGAAGATCATGTATAGTGTCACAACTTTTAATTTGTTGAGCTTCCCTGTTTTTCAGGCTTGAAATCTTATTTGATTTGTTGTTATTTTTTTTTCCTTCTGTTATTAATTGTTTCATTGTATGTCTGTGATGTGCTCTTGAAATTGGAAAGAACTGTTCATTTGAGTGAATAAATCTGATCATGATGTTTTGATTTCTTTCTATTCATTGCTCAAGCATGTACAACTCTGAAGAGTTAGCAAATGGAAAACAAAATCTGATATCCAAAATTTTGTGGAACCATTCACTTCTCTCTCTGTATGATTGGTTTGTATTGAAATCCTGAATTTCTGCTTAATTGGCAGAAAGTTCTTAAACAAGGTGAATTAGTTCACCTGACAGTGAATTAGTAGGATAATTCAACCTGTTAGCTTCAACTAATTCAACAACCAACCTTACCTGAAATATAATTGTCTACAAAGTGTCTGTTTCTCTGTTTCTTTGATTTTCTGCGTCTAATTACATCTGGCATGAAAGATCATTGTGACATCAGTCCATGACAACACCTGTTAGGCCCTGTTATCCCACTTGCCAGTGACTGGTTCTGGCTGGAAGATACCTCTGCAGGAGGAGCAGGCTATGACCCCGACCCAACTTGAATTGGCCCATCAAGCCAGATTGCGGGCTGCAGTGCATTAAAATACTAGTAACTTAAAACACCATAAATTTTTGTTTTAGCAGCAGAAAAATTGGGTAATCTAAAAAATCATTAATCATTATCTATGTATTAAGATAAATAAACATAAAGTAAAACATTATTTTGCCGCAAAAGGCCAAAAGACCTCTTACATCTTACATCTTTATGGAAAGATCTTTAAACAGTTGTAGGCTAGCATTAGGAATATTCTCCTCTCCCAATCCTAGCTCCATCAAAGGTTATGCTTAATCCTTTGTTTAAGGAGGAAAAATTCGGGGGGAGATGGATGCAGAATACTGTCCAATCAATCCTTTTCTTATTTTTTGGTTTCTTGGGACAATTCCAGGGCAGAGAAAATCAAAGAACTTCAGCACTGCATTAAAGTTTTTCGGTTTGAGAGATCAAGCAAACACTATTAAATTAAACAAAAATTCCATCTTAGCAGAACCCATAGGTGGAATCATCTTTAAGTGCTAGAAATAAATAAGCTTATTATTGCAAGGAAAAGAAAAAATATATATGCTTAAGCCACATTTGACACCCAGAAAAATGTATTATAATTAGACCTTTTGACCATTAAATCTCTTATTCTCCAAGAGATTTCATCCCCCATTTTATATGGATATTAAAGCCATATAATGCGCAATAACTTAAAATAATATACTTCTTTAAAGACATATGATGCTCGTGACTATTCAAGAAATAATGATTCTTTGAAGCAATCTAACTCTTTTGGAGCCACGTCCATGATTCTGGTTGATCATTCTAACTTAAATAAATCATAGGGCTTATCTTCAGAAATTTTTGTCTTTTTCCCTCTTCTGTCATATCATGTTAGTTATATTCTCAATTTCTGCCCTCTTTAGTTCTTGCAAATAACCAAAATCTAGCGTAGGGGCAATTGGTTTATTTGGCCAGCAAAATTCCAAAAGCCTTGAATTCTCTCCACCTCGACCATACAATGTGGTTTTTCACTGTTAGAAGCCAACTAGTCTCACTTTAAACTCAGGAATTCATTGCATTTTTTCGGGTTTGTAATTATTTGTCTCGAAACGTTAAAGCTGAACAAAACAGGAATCCAAAAAAAAAAAGAAAAAAAGAAATGCAGGGCTGAGATTAAATAAGTTTATCATCACAAACTGGGAAGATCATGAATATTGTCCATCCCTTTTCTTCTAGAAGGAATAGGTTAGGTTTTTGGATGAATAATCAATATTCCATGTCTAACCGAAAGGAAAGAGGAAGCAAAAGTTGAGCAGGTATTCTTGTTTTGGCAAAACATTTGCAAATTTTAGATTTTACATAGGGGCGGTAATAGAATGCGACTTTCACTTAGAAAATTGAGAATGTGATGTTAATTTCTAATTTTATGTTACGAGAAAAAAAGAATAAAGTAATGGATGCCACGATTTGTAATCTTCACCATATTCATGTCTCATCTTTCATTTTTTTTTCCTTTGCACTTTCCAATCACCTGCAATTTTAGGTGAAAGAAAGAAAGAAAAGTGAGGGTCCCAATCAGAATGTGATTCATTGCAGACCCTAAACGATCGCTTCCTGGAGATGAAAGAATATGTTCATGTCCAATTCCAGCTGCTCACATTGACTTGGGGTGGGGGGAGGAGTGCCCTGTTTCTCGACAAGGACTCGGTTCCTGGGCCACTTGTTCAGGTCCTGGTCATGTGCTGTGATCTTACCATTTGTCTAGCAGACATGATCCATCACAACTGTGATGGAACTTTTCATTGGTGGAACATTATTGGTGGTGATTTTTCGGTTTTGTGAAGATCCAACATAGGTGAGTTGGATCTCTCTTTTACCTTTTTGTTTTTCTTTCGGGTGTGAATAAATTCTCCTAATAAAAACAAAACATGCACAGTGAGAAGAATACCCGAGAAAAGAAAGCAGACAAGAGCCTTAACCAAGGGGCAATAGTTTGTGATACTCGGGAATGACTATTAGGAAGAATTATTCCTTCTTTTTACTCCCTCTTCATCACTTTTAGGTCTAAAATGTCACTTTAAATGAACCTTTGCATACAATAGTAGACCTTAAAGAGTATTTTTGAGTTTAAAAAAGAGAGAATAAGATGACAGATGGACAGTAAGATATGAGAATCTAATTTTATTGATAACCAGACAATCAAATTACCAAGTAACATGGAGCAGTTCTGCAGCTCAAAACGGTCTAATTATTGCCTGAAAATTCCCAGCTTTGATTAATTTTCTTAACAGCAAGGGGGAAGCATCAATGGAAATTGCTCTGCATATAGCTTCTGGGAAATGAATGGCCCTTATCTTGACTTTGAAGCAAAGGAACATCAATGGTTTGTGAAGATAATGTTGAGATCGAAAGCAGCAACCTAATCTTTTTACTCTATTGAGCCCTGCAGATTAATTACCTCTCTAGTATTAGCTTGTCCACTATAATAGTTTCAGTTAACATAGAGCTAACCACAGTCTTTCAAGTCCGACTTTCAAAGGCTTTGGATGTCAGTATCCAACTCGAGTTTTGCAACTTTGGTTCACAGCAAGTTGAAGTCAGATTCATGTATCTCAACTCTGGTTCTCGCATAATGATTGCATAAAAGATTAACAAGTTAAAGGTAATCACAACAGTGCTAGGACAAAGAATAGGAATACCACACACCTCTTTGAAAATTGGAGTCTTCCAACTCTCCATCACCTCTCAACCCATCCATTGTTAGCACTCTGAAACATGAGAAATGTTGATAGCAGTTACATGTTACCTTCTTTTGGCCAGAAAAGTCATGTGTTTTTTTCAACTTTGAAATGGCCGTCTCAATTGCAGGACATCACTGTGAAGCACTTGGATTAATTTCCATGTATTATCATAGTATTACGGCTCACTTAATGGTGAATGTTAGGTGATGGAATTTGATTTCCAGCACTTACTGCATGTCCAGCTCATATTCTTACCATGACCCACCTGTATATTCACAGCAATAACAGTTCAAAGTTTCAACATAGCAGATATCAGCCAAAAATTTGTCAGAAACGTCTAAAAGTCTTAGCTATACCACTTTCATGTATATGCCATTTATTCCACATTGAAATTAATACTGGTGTAAATGGAATATTATTAATGCCATTAATGCTATTGAAGTCTCAAAAGTCAGATATGTTTCTGCATAATCGAATTATATATGGGATATTACTAGTATAATGTAATTAGCATGCCTCAGGGTGATAAATGCATTCCCTATAAAGCATAAATGAGCTGCACCATTCTGAGAAAGCATAGCTGCCATTCCGCCTTTCAAAACTTTCATTGTCCTTATGTAGTAAAGGTTAATCTTGGCCTTTTAACTTCATTGGGGGAGTGCTCCAATCATCAAAAATGGCAGCCAGATGTCTGTCCGAGCCCCCCTGACACTATTTCAAAACCATATGGATTTTGGATAAGCTAGACTTGTATCAATGGAAATAGCAGTGAAGACCATTGGCTATTAGAATAAAAGCCATGAGGAAATAAGTCACTATCTGAACTGAAGCCTATCACTGGGTTTTCAGAATCTCGAATGCAGTGCCAGCACCGCATCGCCTCCTAAACGACCCGACCTCTCGAGAGATAGAGAGAGGGGTTTTCTTTCTTTGATTCTTTCCCTCCATCATGGCACTTTTTCCAAGCGTTTTATTGCTACAGATTTTACGACTCAGTACTTGTCATGCAAGTGACCAACCAGTTTTTGATACTTGCCAAACCTAAGCTCACATGAGACAGCCCCACACCGAAGTGGACACCGACGCACTAATACCTCTTTGCATATATATGTGTACAAACTCATAAACGTCTCATCCATATCCATTCTATGTTGAAAATCTTCAGATAAACGATCCCTTTTGCTCTCTCTCGTTCTCTCTCTCTTTCTGCCCTTTTTCTCTCTAATTTTCTGCAATTGTCTAGTTAAAATTCATTCCTCTACAGCTTACAGCCATGGTCTCCCACCTAGTCAACACTATCCGAAATGTAGTTGGGATCACAGGTACGTTAGTTTGGCCTCCACAACACAGAACTCATGCTTTAAGTATACTACTTGCTTAATTTCGATCTATTGGAAGGCTAAACTAATGGGTGACTGGTTCTTCTGCCTCATTCCAGGGAACGTCATCTCACTCTTCCTGTTCTTGTCTCCAGTGTAAGCTTCGCCTTTAACATAATCTTTTCAAAAGCACAGTGATTTCCCTTTTGGCTTTTTTACCCCTGAAAATGAAGAGGGAAAAGGCATAAGAGCATCCCTTGTCAGTGGAAACCGAGAAGACGTTATTGCCTATAGCGGTGACCCATTTAAAGGGCATTGTTGGCTTTTTAATGTCAAGTGTGTCCAAATTAAAGGGCAATAATCAACCTACCATAAGTTTTGTTAGTCAACAACAATGGGTTGATTTGTTGATTTTCCTTTTTCCAAATATAAGCCTGATTAAATTAATGCGTTTAGCTGGTTTTTGTTATCTCTTTGTGGTTAATGACATTTAATTTTTGCAGGCCAACTTTTGTTCGAATTTGGAAGAAAGGGTCAGTGGAGCAGTTCTCGCCAACTCCATACCTAGCAACCTTAATCAATTGCATGGTTTGGGTCATTTACGGACTCCCGATGGTGCACCCCAACAGCACCCTGGTTGTGACCATCAATGGCACAGGGACCGCCATTGAGTTCATGTATATATCCCTCTTTTTGATCTTCTGTCCTGACAAGAAGAAGGGACTCAAAGTGCTGCTAATTGTGCTTGTCGAGCTAATTTTCATTGCCCTTGTCACCGCCCTGGTTCTAACCCTAGTTCACACCACTGAACGCCGCTCCATGGTCGTTGGAATCATAGCAGTCTTGTTCAACATCACGATGTATGCTTCGCCTTTATCGGTCATGGTTAGTATCACATAGAGCTTCGCTACCATAAACTAAAGACAGGAGAGAGTGTAAATAACTAAAATATAATTGCACCTATACTAAAAGAAATGCATGCCCTTCCATTTACTTTACTTTGTTTGAGTTTGGGTAGACGACAGTTACATAGTTTTTGCATTATTTCCCGGGCCTGGATACTCTTAGTTGTACTAACTAGAATTTTATTGCTTTTACCATATTAAGAGAAGAGCTTGTTACGTTAATGAAGGTGCAGGATTGATGAAGAGGATAGTCTAATTTATATATATATATATATATATATATATATATATATATTTGGTTGGTGGTGCAGAGACTGGTGATCTCGACGAAAAGTGTGGAGTATATGCCATTTTTCCTCTCCCTGGCTTCCCTTGGCAATGGTGTTATCTGGACTACTTACGCTTTCCTTCCTCTTGACCCTTTCATTGCTGTAAGTTACACAATCAGTCTTTACCTTTCTCCTTTCCCTTTTGACTTCTTCATGTCTAAGAACTCCGAAGAGAAGAAACTAGAATGATGCCAAGATGGTGTCATATAATAGCCTCGTTAGAAGAGCTTTTATTTATTAGTAGGTATCTCAATATTGATTATTTCCTCTCCACGGAACTAATTACCACTTTGGTGATAACATATTTTCAAGCAACATTTGGCAAAATGACAATCTTGATCGAATGTCATTGATTTCCTTAACTCAATATTTTTAGTATTATTTGATATATAGTAGGCCTGCTGTGTGGTATAAGTCAATTAATCGGCATCCTGTAATCTTATTTATGCAAAAACACATTAAAGGGGGAAGACGGGGAGGGGGAGGTTGATATTTTTGTGTCCTTCTGGTAGGTTTTAGGCACCTCTCATATATCATGTGCCTTCTTACAAGAAAGGCAAGGTAAAATGGCCCCTTGGAAAGGCCATGTGGGTTACATTAAATCAAAGCTGTCGTCTTTCAAAGTCACAATCATGCTTGAAAGCTGATGGGTTTTCTGGTTTTCCTTTCCAGGTTCCAAATGGACTGGGCACGTTGTTTAGTTTAGCCCAGCTTTTGTTGTACGCCATATATTACAAATCCACCAAGAGAATCATAGCAGCAAGGAAAGAGACCAAGATGGAGCTTAACCTGTCCGAGGTGGTCGTCGTCAGTGGAGATATCGATCCCAAAAAGGCCGGCAGGGCCCCTTAGAGACCCATCTCCTATATAAACATACCCCAACAATATCAACATATATATATATATATATATATATATATATATAAAGAGAGAGGGTTTGTTTTTGTCGTGAACATCGCCATAGACATGGTGCTATCAGTCATGTTAAGTTTCTTAAAAATCATTGTGTAGCCCAACTCGTATAACCCAAGGGGGTTTTTCTCCAATCCAAGTAATAAGAGGTTGCTTCAGAGTTCAAACTAACCAGATATGATCTTTTCCTTTACTGATTACGTGTAGAAAACTGTTAATTTGGTTGCCAAAACTGTAAAGAGATTGCCACTTTAATTCGTTACCCTTCTGTATCTGATTTTGTCACACTCTTAGGTTACTAAAAAGCGGGAAAGATTAACACACTTTATAGCAACCTCTTCATCGAATTTCCTCCTCTAACTCAGTGATTCGATTTTAGGGTAGCATCTTCAGACACTCACATCTATTATCGAGTTGTTGATTTAGAAGTATACATCTGACATAGTAATTAATTGAAATTAGTAAAAAAAAAATTTAATTACTACATAATGGTTTACTTAAATATACTTAAATCGAATATTATCTAAGATCGTTCTAAATATTAAAGTACAAAATTCGATATGTTTAGAGATATCAATAGATACTTTATAATTATGTACCCTACATTATAAAACAAAGTTAAATAAAATCAAGATATTCTATAATCGAATTCAAATACTAAAATTACTACCCATAATAGGTTCGAGTAATAAAACTATTACGTTTTATAGATTTAGATAGAAGCTTTAAGATATCCATTATCAAAATTCAATTATGAATAATAATTTTTTATAATAAATTTTATTTTTATATATTTTTTTTATAATTAATTTAATATTTACTAAAACCATCTTGATTTTATATTTTAATTTTTTATAAATTTATTCTAATTTATTAATCTACCTGTATTTAACAGAAGCCGTGTAAAATATAACGATAACTATTACTATAATAATTTAAAAATTTAATCCAATATTTGTAAGATTTGAGTTAAAATATCTTTAAAGTAACGGATACCAAATATGCTAAAACCAACAAAAACGCTGTCGTTTCAGCGCTATAAACCACAAAAGTCCCCCATGATGAATTACCCAGATTTGTTTCAGTTACTCGATTCGGGAAAGTAGAAGTTCTCCGACCAAGGGCATTTATGTTATTTCAGGTCTGTCCCAAATTATTATTATAATTTTTCCTTGTGCGGAAACGAAGACCCAATTAAAAATCCCCACTTTCCCTACTCTTCCCTGAGACCCTTCTTCCTGGCTCATTTTTCCATTTTAGCAACTGGAAGAATCAGATAAAAGATAATTAATATTTCTTTCAGTTTCAGCCTTATTTATTTTACTTTATTGTTTAAACAGTTTGATTCGAGGAACCCTAGTTTCCCCAACTTCAAAGGTAATATAAGACGGTGATTTTATTTTATTTTAATTTTTGATAGTTGCTATAATTTTTATTTTGGATATATTCATTTGCAAAGGTCAAATTTAGTGTTTTTTATTAGACTAATCGAAAAGGTTCAAGCTTTGGGAGAAGGTCATTTCCGAAACGGAGACTCTCGATTGAACCCGTGGCATGCAATATCTGAAGCGATGCCGTCGTCCTTCTTATTCAACAAATTTTGTGGTATTCTTTTTTCTCAGATTTCTTATTTGTTTTTCGATTTAATTGTGAAGAACAAAATCGGATTTTTTTTTTTTTGACGTTGGGTGAATATGATTTCTGTCTTGTTTTGATTTGGTAATAATGCAATCCTAAATTTCAAATTTTAGGAAATTATAGAAACTAACTATGTGATTTGAGCTGTAATATCTCATTTTTGTTCGCTGATTTTCGTTCTTAATTAGTTAATTAAGTTTGATAATCATGGTTAAACTTATTCAGCTTTGTTTGATGTTAAAAGAAAGGATAAATTACCCTACCTCCTTAAGTTTGGCCCATAGTGTTTCCGTTACTTTAATGATGTAGCAATACTTTTAAGGATAATTTTACCCAACCAAACATTTTTAGTATCTCTGTTACTTGCATGAACTCATTGTTGGCGCGATTAAGCTCTTTCAAACTTTTAAGGGAAGAAGAAAAACTCATTGTTTCTTAAACGCGGCCAGTTGATGATCCAGATGGATTTCCAAAGGTCCCATAGCCATTGTTGCTCTCATCTTTGTTGCTGTTTCTTGTGTTACTTTTGCTGCTAGTTCCATTATCACTTTTTGTATCAATTGTTGGAACTAAAGCAGTGACCGGTTTCTCATCAGTTCCTGACTTGCCAGGTTCATCATCAGATGCAACCTGATTACCTGTTTTCTCTATCTTCACCCCCAATAAAAATCTTCTGCCATTAGCTTGACAATGCAACAATAACCATCCCAGGAAAAACAGAATCAGAAGTACCCTCTTCATGATCAACCTATCCTGTCTGATCAATAATAAGATCAAATGATTATTAACAAAGGTACTTCAATAAAAAAGCTGATTTATTAATGAAACTAAAATACCTTATCTTCCTTCTGCAATTTTCATTTGATGAAGCTAGTAAATATTGCTTTCCAGGGTAGAATTTTATAGACTGAAAAATTGTGCTTAATCATGATTAGGAAAACCAATATGTAGTGGAGTAATGGAGTAATATCACAAATTTTTGGCCTTATTGGAAGGGCATTTTACACCTGTTTTGTTAGTGGAAATGATAGTGGTTCCATGGATAAACACTAAACGAAACTCAACTGACGTTTCTGGTAATGGGGTGAGGTGTACGGTTTTATGAAAAGCAAATGATGCCATGCCACGCGGAGGAACAGGCGTCGTGGCTGGTCCAGTTGGAGAGGAGGTTGCCGTGAGTGTCGACTTGGAGTTGAAAGAGAGTGAGGGCATTCGTGTTGTTTGGGGAAGAAGGAGAGGAGAAGGAAAGACGAAGAAGATAAAGGAAAAGAGTGGAGAGAAAGAAGGAAAATTGGGAAAGGGGTTGATAAGGGGAAGTTCAATGTTCTGAAAATCTAAAAAAACTTTAACCCTAAGCTATTGGTGTGGGGAGAGGTTGAAGAGACAAAGGAGATGAACAGTGGGTAGTGACGTTTTATGCAATGGGTATTTTGGACATTTTATGTTATTTGTTAACGCCTTTTATATTTTTGGAGCGGGCTGTTTATTGTCAATACTAATGGACCCACGTATAATTATGAGCAAAACCTAAGATGGTAGGGTTAATTTACGCTAAAAGAAACCTGTTTAATAATATGATAAGGTAGAAATCAGGCTCATTTATCAAGAAATCTCCATTTTTTTTTAAAGATAAAAAGTCAATCTTTGTAGAATTAGATATAGTTGTTTACCCGTTGGAGTATGTGATTGATGAGTTCCTTGACATTATTTTGCTGCTATGAATTTCAGGGAATCACATTTATGAGCTGGAATAGGAGATCCTGGCGTTATGAGCTTATCATCTTGGTGTGGTGAGCTGTATAGTTAGGTGCTGATAGTTCATGCCATAAAAGGACCGGAACCATGGGAGATGGTAATAATACCTCGGGCAGAGGCATTGCAGCCAACAATACTACCTCGTCCAGCAATAGTGAGAAGCCAGAATGGCTGCAGCAGTACAATCTGCTTGGAAAGATTGGTGAAGGTACTTATGGTCTTGTGTTCCTGGCAAGAATCAAGTCTCAAACAAATCGAGGAAAGTGCATTGCCATAAAGAAGTTCAAACAGTCCAAGGATGGGGATGGTGTATCACCCACTGCCATTCGTGAAATCATGTTGCTTCGGGAGATTACACATGAGAATGTTGTGAAGCTTGTGAATGTACACATTAATCACGCAGATATGTCGTTATATCTGGCTTTTGATTATGCTGAATATGACCTCTATGAAATCATTAGGCACCACCGGGACAAGGTTAACCATGCCATCAACCAGTACACCGTTAAATCATTGCTCTGGCAGCTGCTTAATGGACTGAACTATCTCCACAGCAACTGGATCATACATAGAGATCTAAAGCCATCAAATATATTGGTTATGGGTGATGGTGATGAACAAGGAGTAGTCAAAATTGCTGATTTTGGACTGGCAAGGATTTATCAAGCTCCCTTGAAGCCATTATCTGAAAATGGTGTGGTCGTAACTATTTGGTATCGTGCACCTGAGTTGCTTCTTGGTGCGAAGCACTATACTAGCGCTGTTGATATGTGGGCTGTTGGATGCATTTTTGCTGAGCTTTTGACTTTGAAGCCACTTTTTCAAGGAGCAGAAGCCAAATCCACGCCAAATCCTTTTCAACTTGATCAGCTGGACAAGATATTTAAGATTTTAGGCCATCCCACCCTAGAAAAGTGGCCTACGCTTGGAAATCTTCCACATTGGCAGTCAGATTCGCAGCACATTCAAGGACACAAGTATGATAATGCTGGACTTCATAGTGTTGTCCATCTTTCTCTCAAAAGTCATGCATTTGACCTCTTATCTAAAATGCTTGAATATGATCCTCGAAAGCGTATTACAGCAGCGCAGGCCTTAGAGCATGAGTACTTTAGGATTGAACCCCTACCAGGTCGCAATGCACTGGTACCCAGCCAACCTGGAGAGAAAATAGTCAATTATCCTACTCGTCCGGTAGACCAGAACACTGATTTTGAAGGGACGACTAGCATTCAACAATCACAACCCGTGTCATCTGGAAATGCAGTTGCTGGCAACATGGGAGGTGCTCATGCAGGGAGAAATGGTTCTGTCAATCGGCCTATGCCAGCTCCCATGCAAAGAATGCCTCAGGGCATGATGGCTTATAATTTCCCAGCTCAGGCTGGAGTTGCTGGTGGAATGAATCCAGGAGGCATCCCAATGCAGCGGAATATTGCTGCCCAAGCCCATCAGCAGCAACAGTTGAGAAGGAAAGATCCAGGAATGAACATGCCTGGATACCCTCCACAGCAAAAATCAAGACGCCTGTAAGAACTGAACATCTAATGTGTTGATCATCGGAATGTAATTGAGCAAGATGTTGTATTCTTTCAATTTCAGTATAAGATTAAACTTATTTTATGGAATTTACAACCTGTTGACCTACGAGATCTGTGACTTATCAGTGTGAGCTCTTTGCCTGTAAATACTAACCATGCTTCAAATTTGAAGTCATGATCTGCAGGCCTGTGAGCTCCCTCAAGAGCGAAATGTCTGTTCTCAATATCAGCGTTGGATAGCCTGGCTGTTCATGTTTGATGAATATTATCGAAGCTGCAGCTATTTATGTGTTGCAATTTTTTTCTCGAGGACTCAAGGACCAGGGGCAGGGGTTGAGTCTTTTGACCTTTCAGAGGGCTCCAAAACTCAAACGTTACAGATCTCAAACCTGTTAACTCTCTGTTGTTACGAGGGAAAACGTGCTGCAACTACTCACATCTCACCTGAGAATTATTTAACAAAATCATCTTGACATCATTAACATGGTCGTATTAGAAGAAACTTGATGGAGTTTCTATTCTAGTTCTGGTATTCCTTGACCTTTAAGACGTTAATGGAATAGACAATTAACTTATGAGAACGTTAAACTTGGAAGTTTCATGAAAAAGATCGCCACCCTGCCTGCTTACCCTGAGTTATCATAAATCTAGTCATAGCCGGAGATAGAGCCTCGCTGGTTTCCAATTGGGTTTGTCACCCTCGGACATCTCTGCACCGACGAATAATTAGATGCTCTAAGATTGTATGTTCCATTTGGAAGAGAAATTGTCATACATTAGGAGAGAACTGACTCGAAAAATTTGCCCAGGTTTTACTTGGATTTGATCTCCCAGCAGAACAATCTTAAGAAGAGAATTCCAGTTGATTGCACCTTCTCTTATATTTTTCTTAGCTAAGACGAGAAGTGGGATTTTATAGCTCAAAAAGGAAAAGTTTCTTGCAACTTGAGAAAGCTCTTGGAACCAAAATCTGCACTGTCAATCTCCTAGAATTCTAGGACTACAAGAATGACAGTCTAAATATATGTACAACCTAATCATAACTCTCCAGTACTCTCACAGGAACTTCCTAGATTGGCCATCGCGTCATGAACAGACAACCTAATGATATTGCGACCTGATGATCTTGAAACATCTAGACACTCCTGAAGGTCAGCATCGCAGGCTATCAATACCCATTCACTATCGTCATCCAAATACTTGACATCAAAAGTACCCACCTCCAGCTTCAGCCTCTTGGCCACTTCCTCTTTCAGTTCCACTATACCCGAACTTAAGGAGATCCGAAATCTAATTATATCTTCTCTGTAAGTAGCCTTAATGGTCACGCTCCTCACTTCCTGCCTAGCTGTTACATGGGGAGTTGTCTGAGTAAAAGCAGCCATGGCTTGCTTGAGGGCCAGATCAGTACATGGAGGTGGTGTCCAACTAGATTCTGGAAATCTCTCATCAATACCAACATCTGCCGCTGAAGGACATAGGTTTCTCAAGTCTTTAGAACTTCCAGCATCCTCCACTAGCATACCTCCAAATGGCTCTTGAGGCTCTGTTGCCACAAGGGCTTCGGGCATTGAGAACGTAGCCGGTATATTCAGTTCGCCTAAAGGTTGAAAGGCCAATTCTGGAGAGCCTCGTGCTTTAAAGCATTGCTCTTGGATGGAACTAAGTGGATCCTTGGTAGCAGCACTTTCAATTGCAGGGCTACCTTGGCATGAACCATGAGAAGTAGGCGTCCCAGCACTCTCTTCTCTTGAACCACTCCCTGTTTTGGATCTGTTTGCCCCTTTATTTAAGTCCGGTGAAGGCCCATTCTGCTGAGGGAAAAGTTCTTGGCTCAATGTCCTCCCTGCCAGCAACTGATCTTCCACCAAAGCTTGTCCATTACTTACTGGTGTCCTACATGTGGGCAAATCATATTTTTCACCTTGGGCATCAGAAGGTTTGGAGTTCGGTGAGTTTTGTTGATTGGACCCATTCAAACTGGTTGGCCATGAAATGGAGCCAACAGCAACTGGGAGTGGACTTGTAGCAATTGAAGTTAAACCAAATGCTCCGTCAGCACCTTGGACAGATTCTATAACATGTTTTAGCTTAGTGAGGGAACGGTTGACTTTGTTGATCTTACGAGATGGCCACCGGGAGATCCCATGCTGCCTGCAGATGCGCTTCATTGTTGTAGGACAAACTGTAAAGCAAGAATCTCCCTGAGCCAACAGTCCATTTCAATAGGTACCAAAAAATATATTCCATTTTATATACATATATATCAGCATCTTTTAGGTAATGTAAGTTAAAAAGCAAAGAAATTTTTCAAAAAGCGCATATGCATACCACCAAGGCTCTTTGCAGCATCTTTGAGACTCCCCGCAAAATACTGTTGGAGCACCTCCAGACTAATTGATTTCTCAGTTTTCCCACGTTTTCTCTCTGATTTTTTTACATCTTTGTTCTGTGGAAGACAAACAGGATTTTGGCTTCCACTAGCAACAACATTGCCTCCATCAGTTGCAGGGTCAAAAGTCACAATTAATTGCTGTTTTGATGAGTCTAATTGCAGTTCTCCTCTGTTTGGTGAAGTGTTGGGCACAGGTGGTGACTTCACAGATGGAGGAATTGGAATAGATTCAAGTCTTGAATCAAGCGTTTCATCTGAAAAAGCTTCAATAATTTCGATAGATCCTTCATCCTCTTCAAGTTCGGCTCCAGAAGCAACCTTAAGACTTTGGAAATGCTGCTTCATTGTTGCCAGTATGGACCCCAACAAAGTCTGTTGTTCATTGCTGTCAGCAATAGCAGGAGGCAGAAAAAATTCTAGAACATAATCATCATCTCCAGTATAAGAACTCTGTAAGCAGATTGCAAAACAGCTGGTTAATCTAAACATGCGTGCATAGTGTACTAGGGGGTACTCAGTTTTGCAGAATTGGGTAATGTCTGCGCAAAAGCATGAGTTGCGCGATAAAAATGCCCTCCCAGCAACCCCCTGACCCTTTTGTAGGTGATGCTCAAGACAAGCCTCCCGAAAACCCCACATGTGAGCATCAACAACATAGAATGCCACATCAGTTGTTGACATGCAGACTTGTCCCATGCAACTACCATCAAAGCTTGTACAGCTTTTCTTCAGACCACCACCATAAGCCAGAACACTGCGATGCCTGCAAGGGACCCACGTCTGAGCCAAAGGTAGTTTGTAAGTTTCACAGACCACTGTTAAAATCTCCAAAATTTTAGCCAGTGCATTTTGGCGATTTTCATTGCAAATCTGGTACAAAAACATTAGTTTGTCAGAATAGAGAGAAGAAATGATAAACAACACAAAACATATCTTTTCAATATCCAAAAAGAATAACATGTTTGACAAAATTACAATTGCAGCTCACCTGAGTGCTTGGAGGATCCAATATATCTGAACTTTTTAGATTCACTGCCTGCATAAGAACTGAAATCACGTGACTGAGGAATTTCATAGTATTTTAAATTAGAAATATTTGCTAAGAATCAGAGCTTAACAATGCAAGAAAAAATGTATTCTATAAAAAGTCCTCAAGGAATGGACTGGTGATTTAGCACTAATTAAATAAGAAAACTATATGAGCCTAGGATGCATGGAAAAGGGAAAGAAACCCAACCTCAAGTGCTTTGCATACTTTATCAACCTCAGGTGCATAGTTAATCTTCTGTGAAGTCATTATGAGCTCAAGTACACCAACACACGACTGTCCAGAAGGTTCAAAGACTGGCAATGCCAAGGTTCCCCGAACATTGTAATGCAAAGCATGATCAAGCCGAGAATACTCTTTGCTGGAATAATACTGCACATTTGGAGTCCATTCTGGCAATTTTTGACGGAAAACACGGCCAGGAAGCCCAAGCTGTCCATCACTCTCTCCATCCACAGAAAACATGTACATCAAAGAAACCATCCTATACTGATGCAGTCCATTGCTATGCGGATCAAGGACAAAGGGTTGCCCCGAAGTAGTAAGCATATACCGACCCCCACTCTTTATAGGTGCCCAAACCTGAGCTAGAACATGTTGTTCAGTTGAATCTTTGAAGTAGCGCAGTGCCTGAGTCATTCTCTCTTTAATCACACAATAACTATCTGGGTTCTCAAGGGGCAGCAGTCCCAAAAATGAAGAAGGCATCCCTCTCTTATCATTGTCCTCCTTTGGGTTTTCCTTTACCGGCTTGGGAGTACCTGCATTTAGTATAATTTCAAAAACAAAACAAGTCAGTTAAGCAACAGGAGCTCTGCTAAATTAAATATGTGTACAGCTTCTAGTATGATGTTATGGAATAGACTAAGACCAGAAAATTATAAAAATTCAGGTGCTGGACCATTTAACTTGAAGGCATGGTGTATCCAAAATACATAAGACCCAAAAGAAAAAAATTAAGGGAAAGACAGAAAACTCATTGCAGGCAATAGAACCTCGATAAAAGAAAAATCCCAAGCTGAGAAGGTAACAAGCAGCAGCTAGCTCAGAAGTTTTAAATAATGGTTTACGTAGGTGCTAGAGAAAATACTAGGGAAGAAAAAGCAAACAAACTAAACTATACGTTTTCATTATTGGTTCAATTTCCTTATTCTATGGGGTTGGTTAAGCCACCAAGAAAATTGGAACTCGTTTTATATTTCCATTGAAGAATCGTCTTACTCTCCAGCTCTTGAACAACCAAATGAAGCTCTGAAAACTCAGAGACCAGAAGCCATGTTAAAGATCAGCAACATCTTAACAGAGCAAAGTTTCCAATTTTTCAGGGTTACCAATTTCCAAGAAAACAAAATAAGATCAAATTCGACCAAGACAGACCAA